ATTTATAGAAGTTTGTGTTTGACGGTTGAAAGTTATTGTTTGTTGATTTTGTAAGTTTGATTTGGTTTTGAAGTGTTGTTTTTATTTCTACTTTGTGGAGATTTGGGCGATCTCCGATATTCAACCACTTCATATAGGTACCTTGCCAAGCCACCCACCCACCCGTTCGACAAAAAACCCCACCCAACGCCCACTGTGCGAGCACCCAGCTTGCCCTGTGCATCTGAGACCTCTTTTATTGTGTTGGCAGCCATTCTACCTTCATTAGTTATATAGAACTAAAATCAAGTGTCATTTGAAAACTGGCCTAAAATTGAAAGGAAATCGGACTCAGTTTGCACATGATGTATTAGAAAAACATAAAGTCAAAGCATGATGGGTCATACTGTATTTTACATGAAATAATTTATAATTTGTTCCCTTTATGACCAAATGCAATCAACAACATAGCAACCAAGACAAATTGTTTAAACATCACTTCTGAACATATAAATGCTATTAAGCTCGCAAACTAAAGCTTATGGAGCAACTCAGATCGCATTTGAATTCAAAGCTTAAATTTTTCCAGTCCACAGGTTCCATCAAGTCCTAGAATTTTGTATAAGTTCAAATAGATGTTGGTTTTTTTTGAGTTTGTGAAAAAAAAAAATTTGTATATAATTTTTTGTTAAATTCTAGTAACACATTATTTTTAATAAAAAATATTGGGGATAATTGTAATTTATATTGTATATAGTTGAGGGCATATTAATAATTCATATTAAAAAGTGATATATTGGTATTGAATCTTGAAATGACATAAATATATTAAATCAAATAGAAAAAATATTTTAGTCTTTAAACTAAATAGTAACAGATTTTCTAACGAACGTGGGTGGGAATGTATCGTTTCGCCAAACTTGAGTGGAAAACGCCTTCTCCAAGATGGAGATCTCAATCATTGAAAATTATTATTATTATTATCTAGTTTGTATATCATCAATGGCATATATGGTAAAAATGGTGAGTTAAAAATAATTTCCTTTAATCAAAAAAAACAAAAAAAAGAGGGGTAAATTAGGTCCTATGTAGAATAAGTTGGCTTATCAACCCCTGGGCCCAATTATAAAAAATTGGACCTTATGAAAAACCATATGCCGACCGACAAGAAGTTCTAAATTCGATTTTACAACCACCTCGGCTCCGGAGAACCTGAGAAAGTTAGCAGACCAAAAAAGGATGAACTAACGTGGAACAAGAACAAGAACAACAAGAAGCGGCCATTAACACAATTTTCTAACCTCCCTTTCGACCAAGACGACCGCGGTGCTGATCAACCTTCAAAGGGACGGTGATAGTGAGCCTCGAGAGCCTTTGAACACCAACAACTTGCCGAATCATTTCAATCCCAGGGCTAAGCTTGCCGAGGTTTACTCCTTTATCCATTTCTTTATGGTGTTTTTTGTTTAAAGTTTATATTTTGTTGTGTGTTTTCTGATGAATACGTGTTGGTAAATGAATTTTACTTTAGTTTTGTATGCTTGGTTTGTTTAAATTCAACTAAATTCTGATCTTGTCGAGAAATTTTAAAATCATGTAATGCTGTGTTTACATGAATGGTTACTGGTATGTCCCGTTGCTGCTAATTTCTTAATTGATTGAATTCAAAATTTTAAAGGGAAGGCATATCTCGAGAACAACTGAACAAGCTAGCAGAGTACCGTTTAAATTTATGGATATACAGTTAAGTAAGGGAATAGATACTAAGAAGAAGATTTTAGTGGTTTGGGTGAATGGATACTTGCCTCATAAGGTCAATCTTCGTTGTTTGGTATTTCTTAATCATATTCACTTTTTGCGACTTAATTTGTGGACAACCTAGCAGCTGTTAAATTTGTTCTTTTAGTGTCTGAATAATAAGATCTTGTCATCCTATTTAAGGGATTTCATGTGAAATGCTTTAGAAAGTTAGAGGGTAAGTCCCTCCCATCTTCAGTGCTTGTTAGTTGATATGTATATGGCAATTGTTTGTGATAGCACTAAATACAGCAGTCTTACTTCATGTCATTGTACTTTCTTATCTACATGCTGACTACTTCATCAACGTGGCACATTTGTTTTGAAGGATGGGAAATATCGGGAAGCACTTGGAATGGAGGCTGCTCTAAATTTGATGCCTGAAAATGCAGTTTTGCACGAACAAAAGGCACAAGTTTTGCTTGAAATTGGGGATGCGTGGAATGCGTTGAGGCAGCAACTCGTAAGACTGAGTTCACATTCCCCCTCTGTTTATTTTATATAATTCTTAATAAAATTTAGCATGTCCGTAAAAAGTATAAGCTTAAAGTACCTAATGTGTAATTGTTCTATCATAATTGACAGCAGATGCGTGTAGTAGGCCATCATTCGAACACTTTTTTCCTTAAGCTCCTTTTATTGTCTTAAATTTTGAAACAGGTCATTTTTTTTCTTCTTTTTGTTTACATTTCGATCAAAAGCAAGCTAGGAATTTACAATGCAATATGTCCAGTAAAACTATGTTTGCACCTTAGGATCTTTCTGCTGAGTTTTATGCTTTGGGAGTTTGCAAGTATTTTTCGCTGATATACTATTTACAAATCTTACATTGAACTTGACAGACCACTGAATTGGAACCATCATGGGCTGAGGTATTTTGAGCTTTCTGACTTTGCTTGCTTCTAATATAGATTCTTGTATTATTAGCAACAATAGCTCATTTTCCTTTAACTAAATCTGATCCTTGTTACAATTCCTACTAGATACATCTTTTATGGTGTTTACTCTTAAAGGTTTTATTATCTGTCATGATTTTGCAAAATTGAGCTGATTATCTAATGTAATCTAAAACATTTGACATTTTAAAGATTTCCTACCAAGCAATATGAAGCTAATAGAAAAATGCAGATGCTCTTGCTTTTTAAAGACTGACTTTGATGCATGGGATTTGGTAATTCTTATCAGTAGCCATTGTTACCTTGTGCTACCCCTGAAACCACTGATTAGAGTTGCTAATTTTGTTTATCCCTGAGTAACATTCTAATAAATTTTAATCATCAAACAATACGATTGACATAGAAGGAAGTTATGAGAAGCTTCATATATTTTACTTTTAGATCTATATAACGTACAATTTTCAAACTTGTAGTTTTTTCACATTGAGTTCATTGTGCACTGCACTGAGTACAATTTGTTCCTCATTTCACTGGTAAATTTGTTGTTTTCACTGTTAGAAAATCAGTAGTAAAAAACTACATGTTAAGAAGCCCTTGTGTAGGCATGATCATTTCTCTGCTTCCTAGATGCTGCTGTTAAAGGACCATTATGGCCCATAAATGTTTGTACACTAATGCTACTGATTCAAATACTGCCAAACCATAAAGTTTCACGAGTCATGTCATTTAGAACTAGCTAGTTTTTGAATCAACCAAAAAAGCTCCTAGGTTTAGGTTTGATTGTTGAAGTTTTTCATGTAATCAACATTAAGTTTCCAGCAAATGAAAGTGAACTCCAATTAGATGTTATTTTGCTCATCTCACGGAGGGGTTTCGTTCAGGCATGGATCACCCTTGGCAGAGCACAATTAAACTTCGGGGAGCCTGATAGTGCAATGGAAAGCTTTGACAAAGCATTAGCTATCAAGGTATGCCGATATTATGTTTCTGTAAACTTTGCCCTCAAGTTTTAGGAATGTTAACTGAATGACAGTATAACTTTTGGTGCAACTTTCTTTTCTCCCCTTGTACAGCCTGATTCTGAGGAGGTTCGAGATGACAGAAAGACAGCATTTCATCTTGTAAAGAGAAGAAAGCAGCTGCATTTATCAGGCTTGGATTCTGATACAAACCGTTTTGTGGTTGGTGACAAGACTGAAACATCCTGAAGGCCTACAAGAAGTGAGTTTTTGTCTGTTGATATGAGAGAGAGTAGGATAACCGTACGTTAGTGATAAACATTGCCTTGAAAATATTTTTGCCCAGGAAGGCATTGTTGTCACCCGAAATCTTTGGATGAAATATTTTCATGTAAAATATCATATGCCTTTTTTTTATTTTTTTTAATACAAATTGGACAAAAACTCTTCATGAGCCTGTATATTGTTTAACAAGTTGTGCGAAGTTATAGCTGTGCAATACCTTCATGTCATTATGTTGTATACTTTTTTCTTTTGTTACTAAACAATCGGCATTAGTAAAAGAATGTATAGTTAATAGGTCTTGACAAATCAGTTAGAGAAGGCCAATTTCCTTGCTACTGAATGGCCTAAGAATTCCAACATTTCGAGATTTATGGAGCAAAAGGACAAAATTATGGACACTTGAGCAATTAACTCATCCATCAAAACAAATTCCAGAAGGTCTCGATTCAACTCGATTCAATTTCTCCATGTAGGAACTTCTGAATCTGCCCAGTTGAAGTTGGGGCTCCTTTTGATACCGACGGATGATAGTATTGTTGCCTGCTGCCGGCATAGACAGTGGGTACAAACCACGTGTATGCAGTACTGTTGTACAGGATTGAAGGAGAATCACAAATGCAATTGCAGCTCTTTCGAGTTGCAAGTTTTGGCGTTAGTAGCTCCTTTGATAAGCTGTTTTTGGATGAATATTTTTGCTTTTAAATTGAAGCTAAATTTAGTATATTGAATTCTTGAACGTGCCATTAATTATTATTAAGTATGGAAGAAGCAAAACTCAGTTTGGTTGCATTACAAAGAATTAACCTTAACACAGCAGCGATACTCGAGAAGCCAATGACAATTTTATTTTCTAATTTTTTTCCTTACAGAAATTATTCAAAGCCAACATGTGATTCATTCACATTCGGTCACTTTCAATTTCGAAAGAGTGTTGTCTTATAGTACAACTTGCAAGTCGAATCATAAATTATTTGACATTCAGAACAAATAATTGATGTGAACCGTAATCATATCAGTAATAATATATGGTCACCAATTAAATAAAATAGTTAAATTAATAAACCTTATACCAACGCATAAACATTGCTCTTCTGCTTCCTGTAATTCATAGAATCCTTTCAACGATTCACCCAATTCAAACCTTACAATCAATGGATCAACTAAAACCTAAACCTGTAAACTCTTCTCCTCTCACCCCAATAGGATTTCTTGAAAGAGCAGCAACTGTCTATGGCGATTGCCCTTCCCTTGTCTTCAACAACACCACCTACACTTGGTCACAGACCCATCGTCGATGCCTCCAACTCGCATCATCACTCTCATCTAACGGTATCAAGACTGGCCACGTCGTCTCTGTTGTGGCACCAAACATTCCAGCCATGTACGAACTCCACTTTGCTGTCCCCATGTCTGGTGCCATCCTCAACAACATCAACACAAGGCTCGATGCCCGCACCGTATCATTGCTCCTGCAACATAGCGAATCTAAACTCGTCTTTGTTGATCAGCACCTGAGCTCTCTTATCCTTAAAGCTCTCTCTTTGTTCCCACCTAATATCGAAACCCCGAGGCTCGTCCTCATCACCGATGATGATGATGATGACACGTCATCATTACCAACCGCTGAATTCATCGACACTTACGAAAACATGGTAAAAGAGGGTAATCCTGACTTCAGGTGGGTCCGTCCCAAGAGTGAATGGGACCCAGTAGTTTTAAACTACACATCTGGCACAACCTCGGCTCCTAAGGGAGCGGTGCACTGCCACAGGGGACTCTTCATCGTCGTCGTTACTTCACTAATCGATTGGGCGGTTCCGAATCAGCCGGTTTTCTTGTGGACCTTACCTATGTTTCATGCAAACGGTTGGTGCTTCCCTTGGGGCATGGCTGCCGTCGGTGCAACGAATGTTTACCTCCGAAAATTAGACGTGTCCACCATCTACGGCTTGATTAAACAACACGGTGTGACCCACATGTGTGGTGCACCTGTGGTTCTCAACATGCTATCAAATCCATCAGAGGCTGAACCTCTTCAACATCCGGTCCACATTCTAACTGGAGGTGCTCCGCCGCCAGCACCGGTGCTGTCTCGAATCGAGTCACTCGGTTTCATCGTGACCCATGCTTACGGGTTGACTGAGGGAGCCGGTGTCGTTTTGTCATGTGCATGGAAACAACAATGGAACAAATTACCTACAAATGAGAGGTCAAAGTTAAAGGCAAGACAAGGAGTTGGGACAATCGGATTGAGTCAACTGGATGTGGTGGATCTGAATTCAGGAGAAAGTGTGAAACGAGATGGGTTGACTCGCGGGGAGATAGTTTTGCGAGGAGGATCCATCATGTTAGGTTATCTCAAAGACACGAAAAGTACATCCAAATGTTTAAAAGATGATGGTTGGTTTTACTCTGGAGATGTGGCGGTGATGCATCCTGATGGTTATGTAGAGATCAAAGATCGATCAAAGGATGTGATTATAAGTGGTGGAGAGAAGATAAGCAGCACTGAGGTCGAGTCGACTTTGTATTCTCATCCTATGATTAATGAAGCCGCTGTGGTGGCTCAACCACACTCGCTTTGGCAGGAGACTCCATGTGCGTTTGTGTGTTTGAAGAGTGAGTTGACTCAGAAACCTACGGAGAAAGAGATAATAGAGTTTTGTAGGGCTCGGTTGCCGCATTACTCGGTACCCAAGACTGTAATTTTTAAGGATGAGCTACCAAAAACCGCAACTGGGAAGATTCAGAAATTTGTTCTAAGGGAAATTGCAAAGTCGATGTTGTATTCACGTATGTAGGAAGTAAAGCTCTAGCACTAATACAATAAATTGCTTTCTCACTTCATTCTGAACCACTGGTATAGCCCGTTTCAATTTTAATTTTCTTTAATTTATAAATCGAAATCTTATTGAATATCGTTAATTAATTGGAAGTTGGTATCGTGGAATTACGATAGTTTTGAGACATTGACTTTCTGGGGAAACGGCAGGATCTACTATATATGCTACTTAATTCAAAGTCCATGCATAAGGAAGAAAGGCTGTTGCCGTAATTAAGGGGCTACTAGATTCATTGGTGTACTTTTAATTTTTAATCTTTGAAAGCGAAGTGCAAGATAGTTATTGAAATTGAATATAATATTGTCATTTGGCTAAGTCCCCCATTTAAAACTTGTTTTTTGTTGGTCTGCAAATCCAAAGTCCTATTGAAAGGATGTAATACCATTAACAAATAAGTCGTATTGGGGTTATCCTAAAAAATGATTTATTGGTGAAAGTAATTCGATGGAGTTTTTGTTAAGTAACTATCTATATAATGGAGTATTATATTTAGTACATAATGACAAAGGAGTAATTATGAAGATAACCCTTATACAGATTTTTTTTTTCTTTTTCTGGAATCAAGGGAAAAAAATAAGGTAAATTGGATAATTAATTACCAAACCATGGTGAGGCCTCGGGAATACCCAACAAAAAAGATAAAAAGTAAATCTTACCTTTAACTAGACCCTTTTTCATAAACCCTTGACATTTCTAACGGACCTGTATAGTGAAAGTATCCCAAACAGAAGTAGTGAATTAGGATTATCATGGGTATTACTTAAAATGTCTCACTTGAATTATTAATAGGGTCATCACTGAAATGATTTATTTAACTGTCAATTTTAGAGTATTAAGAAATTATTTAAAATACACGTAAACTAATCTGGATACTCCAGTCTCGAAAAAAAAAAAAAGGTATCCAAAACATTATTTCAACCTTTTTTTTTTTGTTTTTTATCATGACAATTTGGAAATTGGACCTAATCAAGTGGTTCAAATTTTTTACAAGAAGGCAAACCAAATCACATTCAAAATTAAACTTGAAAGTTTCCGAAATAATTAAGATACGTTTCCAAATTCAGCAAACTAAAAGGCCACTGCCCATTTGATTACAGGAGTGGTACTGGAAAGCAGATGATAAATAATTCACAATTTCTCCGAAAATTAATTGTACCATGCTTGCATGGCGTCTTACGTGAATAAATAACATATCATCATAATAACTTTAAGTGAAAGGAGTTCACGTTTCTTGGGTTATTAATTCCTAAATACGTGAATAAAACATTTTCTTGGCCATTTCTCTGAGCACAAATTTCTTAATTTTCCCTGTAGCGGTCTTAGGAAGCTTTCTCTTGAAGACGACAGTCTTCGGAACCATGTAGTGCGGCAACCTCGCCCTGCAAAAGTCTATTATCTCCTTCTCAGTAAGTTCACTTGCCAAGAAGTCATTCTTCAAACATACAAAAGCGCATGGCGTCTCCTGCCAAAACGGGTCCGGTCGAGCCACCACGGCTGCTTCATTAATCATAGGATGAGAATACAATACGGATTCAACCTGAGCACTGCTTATGTTTTCTCCACCACTTATAATTACATCCTTTGATCGATCTTTGATCTCTACATAACCATCCGGATGCATTACAGCCACATCTCCAGTATAAAACCAACCATTATCTTTCATGCATTTGGATGTAGTTTTCGGATCTTTAAGATAGCCTAACATGAGAGACCCTCCTCGTAAAACGAGCTCGCCACACGCTAACCCATCTCGTTTAACACTTACTCCAGATTCTAAAAAGGACAGGCGCTGGTGGTGGAGCGCCGCCAGTAAGAATGTGGACAGGATGTTCAATACGTTCAGCATTCCGATATTGTTTGATAGCATATTGAGCACTACCGGTGCACCACACATGTATGTCACCTTATGTTTTTTAATCAAAGTGTAGATCGTTGATACGTCAATTTTACGGAGGCAAATGTTGGTTGCACCGACGGCAGCCATACCCCAAGTATAGCACCACCCGTTGCCATGAAACATTGGCAGGGTCCACAAGTAGACTGGCTGATTCGATACTGACCAATCAATAAGTGAATTAATGGTGGCAACGAACAGGCCCTTGTGAGAAAGGACCACACCTTTTGGAGAAGAAGTTGTGCCAGATGTGTAGTTTAAAACCATAGGGTCCCATTCACTCTTTGGCTCAATCCACTTGAACTCAGAATTACCCTTTTTTACCATGTTTTCATAAGTATCAATGAAACCAATTAGGGTTGATGCTGAGGTGTCTTCATCATTCACAAGAACAAGACGGGGGGTTTCAGTATTAGGCGGGAACAAAGAGACGGCTTCCAGGATGAGAGAGCTGAAAATGTGGTCAACAAAGACGAGCTTTGACTCGCTATGTTGCAGGATTGATGATACGGTGAGGGCGTCCAGCCTTGTGTTAATGGTGTTAAGGATGGCTCCAGACATGGGGACTGCGAAGTGGAGCTCGTACATAGGTGGAATGTTGGGGGCCACAACGGATACCACGTGGCCAGTCTTGATACCGAGAGATGAAAGTGATGATGCCAGTTGGAGGCATCGACGGTAGGTCTGTGTCCACGTGTAGGTGGTAGTGTTGTAGACAAGTGAAGGGTAATCACCATAAACAGTTGCAGCTCTTGCCAGGAAGGTTACAGGGGTGAGAGGGCAAGAGTTTACAAGACTTGGCTTCAGTTGGTCCATTGATTTTTCCAAGAATAAGAAACAGAGGGAAGATACCAACGTTAATTAATCAAGTGAATATCACTCTTATAAACTTGTAATACAATCTTTTCCTTTATCCATTTCTTTATGGTGTTTTTTGTTAAAGTTTATATTTTGTTGTGTTTTTCTGATGAATACGTGTTGGTAAATGAAAATTTTACTTTAGTTTTGTATGCTTGGTTTGTTTAAATTCAACTAAATTCATGTCTTGTGGAAATTTTAAAATCATGTAATGCTGTGTTTACATGAATGGTTACTGGTATGTCCCGTTGCTGCTAATTTCTTAATTGATTGAATTCAAAATTTTAAAGGGAAGGCATATCTCGAGGAACAACTGAACAAGCTAGCAGAGTACCGTTTAAATTTTATGGATATACAGTTAAGTAAGGGAATAGATACTAAGAAGAAGATTTTAGTGGTTTGGGTGAAGGATACTTGCCTCATAAGGTCAATCTTCGTTGTTTGGTATTTCTTAATCATATTCACTTTTTGCGACTTAATTTGTGGACAACCTAGAGCTGTTAAATTTGTTCTTTTAGTGTCTGAATAATAAGATCTTGTCATCGCTATTTAAGGGATTTCATGTGAAATGCTTTAGAAAGTTAGAGGGTAAGTCCCTCCCATCTTCCAGTGCTTGTTAGTTGATATGTATATGGCAATTGTTTGTGATAGCACTAAATACAGCAGTCTTACTTCATGTCATTGTACTTTCTTATCTACATGCTGACTACTTCATCAACGTGGCACATTTGTTTTGAAGGATGGGAAATATCGGGAAGCACTTGGAATGGAGGCTGCTCTAAATTTGATGCCTGAAAATGCAGTTTTGCACGAACAAAAGGCACAAGTTTTGCTTGAAATTGGGGATGCGTGGAATGCGTTGAGGCAGCAACTCGTAAGACTGAGTTCACATTCCCCCTCTGTTTATTTTATATAATTCTTAATAAAATTTAGCATGTCCGTAAAAAAGTATAAGCTTAAAGTACCTAATGTGTAATTGTTCTATCATAATTGACAGCAGATGCGTGTAGTAGGCCATCATTCGAACACTTTTTTCCTTAAGCTCCTTTTATTGTCTTAAATTTTGAAACAGGTCATTTTTTTTCTTCTTTTTGTTTACATTTCGATCAAAGCAAGCTAGGAATTTACAATGCAATATGTCCAGTAAAACTATGTTTGCACCTTTAGGTCTTTCTGCTGAGTTTTATGCTTTGGGAGTTTGCAAGTATTTTTCGCTGATATACTATTTACAAATCTTACATTGAACTTGACAGACCACTGAATTGGAACCATCATGGGCTGAGGTATTTTGAGCTTTCTGACTTTGCTTGCTTCTAATATAGATTCTTGTATTATTAGCAACAATAGCTCATTTTCCTTTAACTAAATTGATCCTTGTTACAATTCCTACTAGATACATCTTTTATGGTGTTTACTCTTAAAGGCTTTATTATCTGTCATGATTTTGCAAAATTGAGCTGATTATCTAATGTAATCTAAAACATTTGACATTTTAAAGATTTCCTACCAAGCATATGAAGCTAATAGAAAAATGTCAGATGCTCTTGCTTTTTAAAGACTGACTTTGATGCATGGGATTTGGTAATTCTTATCAGTAGCCATTGTTACCTTGTGCTACCCCTGAAACCACTGATTAGAGTTGCTAATTTTGTTTATCCCTGAGTAACATTCTAATAAATTTTAATCATCAAACAATACGATTGACATAGAAGGAAGTTATGAGAAGCTTCATATATTTTATTTTAGATCTATATAACGTACAATTTCAAACTTGTAGTTTTTTCACATTGAGTTCATTGTGCACTGCACTGAGTACAATTTGTTCCTCATTTCACTGGTAAATTTGTTGTTTTCACTGTTAGAAAATCAGTAGTAAAAAACTACATGTTAAGAAGCCCTTGTGTAGGCATGATCATTTCTCTGCTTCCTAGATGCTGCTGTTAAAGGACCATTATGGCCCATAAATGTTTGTACACAATGCTACTGATTCAAATACTGCCAAACCATAAAGTTTCACGAGTCATGTCATTTAGAACTAGCTAGTTTTTGAATCAACCAAAAAAGCTCCTAGGTTTAGGTTTGATTGTTGAAGTTTTTCATGTAATCAACATTAAGTTTCCAGCAAATGAAAGTGAACTCCAATTAGATGTTATTTTGCTATCTCACGGAGGTGGTTTCTTCAGGCATGGATCACCCTTGGCAGAGCACAATTAAACTTCGGGGAGCCTGATAGTGCAATGGAAAGCTTTGACAAAGCATTGCTATAAGGTATGCCGATATTATGTTTCTGTAAACTTTGCCCTCAAGTTTTAGGAATGTTATCTGAATGACAGTATAACTTTTGGTGCAACTTTCTTTTCTCCCCTGTACAGCCTATTCTGAGGAGGTCGAGATGACAGAAAGACAGCATTTCATCTTGTAAAGAGAAGAAAGCAGCTACTTTATCAGGCTTGTTCTGATACAACCGTTTTGTGGTTGGTGACAAGACTGGAACATCCTAAAGGCCTACAAGAAGTGAGTTTTTGTTTGTTGATATGAGAGAGAGTAGATAACCGTACGTTAGTGATAAACATTGCCTTGAAAATATTTTTGCCCAGGAAGGCTGTTGTCACCGAAATCTTTGGATGAAATTTTCATGTAAAATATCATATGCCTTTTTTTTTTTTTAAAATACAATTGGACAAAACTCTTCTGAGCCTGTATATTGTTAACAAGTTGTGCGAAGTTGTAGCTGTGCAATACCTTCATGCCATTATGTTGTATACTTTTTTCTTTTGTTACTAAACAATCGGCATTAGTTAAAGAATGTATAGTTATAGGTCTTGACAATCAGTATAGAAGGCCAATTTCCTTGCTACTTCATGGCCTAAGAATTACACATTTCGAGATTTATGGAGCAAAAGGACAAAACTATGGACACTTGAGCAATTAACTCATCCATCAAAACAAATTCCGAAGGTCTCGATTCAACTCATCCTGCATAACAATTTCTCCATGTAGGAACTTCTGAATCTGCCCAGTTGAACTCTCTTAACTGAACGTGCCATTATTAGTATTAAGTATGGAAGAAGCAAAACTCAGTTTGGTTGCATTACAAAGATTACCTTAACACAGCAGCGATACTCGAGAAGCCACGACAATTTTATTTTCTACTTTTTTCCTTGTAAAATTATTCAAAGCCAACATGTGATTCATTCACATTCGGTCACTTTCATTTCGAAAGATTGTTGTCTTATAGTACAACTTGCAAGTCGAATCATAAATTATTTAACATTCAGCAAATAATTGATGTGAACCGTAATCATATCAGTAATAATATATGGTCACCAATTAAATAAAATAGTTAAATTAATAAACCTTATACCAACGCATAAACATTTCTCTTCTGCTTCCTGTAATTCATAGAATCCTTTCAACGATTCACCCAATTCAAACCTTACAATCAATGGATCAACTAAACCCTAAACCTGTAACTCTTCTCCTCTCACCCCAATAGGATTTCTGAAAGAGCAGCAACTGTCTATGGCGATTGCCCTTCCCTTGTCTTCAACACCACCACCTACACTTGGTCACAGACCCATTCGATGCCTCCAACTCGCATCATCATCCTCATCTAACGGTATCAAGACTGGCCACGTCGTCTCTGTTGTGGCACCAAACATTCCAGCCATGTACGAACTCCACTTTGCGGTCCCCATGTTCGGTGCCATCCTCAACAACATCAACACAAGGCTCCGATCCCGCACCGTATCTTGCTCCTGCAACATAGCGAATCTAAACTCTTCTTTGTGATCAGCACCTGAGCTCTCTTATCCTTAAAGCTCTCTCTTTGTTCCCACCTAATATCGAAACCCCGAGGCTCGTCCTCATCACCGATGATGTGATGATACACGTCATCATTACCAACCGCTGAATTCATCGACACTTACGAAAACATGGTAAAAGAGGGTAATCCTGACTTCAGTGGGTCCGTCCCAAGAGTGAATGGGACCCAGTAGTTTTACTACATCTGGCACAACCTCGGCTCCTAAGGGACGGTGCACTGCCACAGGGGACTCTTCATCGGTCGCTTACTTCACTAATCGATTGGGCGGTTCCGAATCAGCCGTTTTCTTGTGGACCTTCCTATGTTTCATGCAAACGGTTGGTGCTTCCCTTGGGGCATGGCTCCGTCGGTGCAACGAATGTTTCCTCCGAAAATTAGACGTGTCCACCATCTACGGCTTGATTAACAACACGGTGTGACCCACATGTGTGGTGCACCTGTGGTTCTCAACATGCTATCAATCTCAGAGGCTGAACCTCTTCAACATCCGTCCACATTCTAACGGTGGTGCTCCGCCGCCAGCACCGGTCTGCTCGAATCGAGTCACTCGGTTTCATCGTGACCATGCTTGCGGTTGACTGAGGGAGCCGGTGTCGTTTTGTCATGTGCATGGAACAACAATGGAACAAATTACCTACAAATGAGAGGTCAAAGTTAAAGGCAAGACAAGGAGTTGGGACAATCGGATTGAGTCAACTGGATGTGGTGGATCTGAATTCAGGAGAAAGTGTGAAACGAGATGGGTTGACTCGCGGGGAGATAGTTTTGCGGGAGGATCCATCATGTTAGGTTATCTCAAAGACACGAAAAGTACATCCAAATGTTTAAAAGATGATGGTTGGTTTTACTCTGGAGTGTGGCGGTGATGCATCCTGTGGTTATGTAGAGATCAAGATCGATCAAAGATGTGATTATAAGTGGTGGAGAGAAATAAGCAGCACTGAGGTCGAGTCGATTTGTATTCTCATCCTATGATTAATGAAGCCGCTGTGTTGGCTCAACCACACCGCTTTGGCAGGAGACTCCATGTGCGTTTGTGTGTTTGAGATGGATTGACTCAGAAACCTACGGAGAAAGAGATAATAGAGTTTTGTAGGGCTCGGTTGCCGCATTACTCGGTACCCAAGACTGTATTTTTAAGGATGAGCTACCAAAAACCCAACTGGGAAGATTCAGAATTTGTTCTAGGGAAATTGCAAAGTCGATGTTGTATTCACGTATGTTAGGAAGTAAAGCTCTAGCACTAATACAATAAATTGCTTTCTCACTTCATTCTGAACCACTGTATAGCCCGTTTCATTTTAATTTTCTTTAATTTATAAATCGAAATCTTATTGAATACGTTAATTAATTGGAAGTGGTATCGTGGAATTACGATAGTTTTGAGACATTGACTTTCTGGGGAAACGGCAGGATCTACTATATATGCTACTTAATTCAAAGTCCATGCTAAGGAAGAGGCTGTTGCCGTAATTAGGGGCTACTAGATTCTTGGTGACTTTTAATTTTAATCTTTGAAAGCGAGTGCAAGATAGTTATTGAATTGAATATAATCTAACAAAAATAGAGGGGAGACAAAGATTTCTTTCCGAATGTGAAACCTTTTGATTGTGGGGTACTGGTGAAAAGATTGAAGGTGTGGGTCCTGAAAGATTGAATAATGTGAGTTGCATGGTGATTGCATAGAAAGAATCAGTTATCCCTCCGTTTTCTTTAAATCGACAATCTAAAGTGTAATTTCCTAGAAATTTTTCTATGAAAGTTTTAAGGACCAATAACTGAAGATATTATGCATCTATCTTATTTATTTAAAACGTCCTTTTGTTAGGCCCTACGCCACAATTTTGAACATATTTCCGTAATGTTGATGCTGTTGCTGCTACATTAATGAAGTAATTACTTTCACTTGTCTACAAAGATGGAAAGGAGAACAACATTTTCCCACCCAAGGTTTGGCGAAATGAGACTTTTCCACCCATCAAGTTTCAAAAGGACACTTTCCCCCACCGTTATATTCTGTTAGAAAAATCCATTTGGAAGAAGGGCAGGATGGCCCATTTACTTGAAGCCTTATAAATCCAAATTTTAAAATTGAAATCTCGGTCCTTGTCACTTTTCCCTTTCTCTTTTCTTTCCTTTCCTTTCCTTTTCTTTTCCTTCTTTTCTTTTTCTTATCTTTTCTTTGCCATCTTCTCTTCCTACTACGCTGGAGTTTGCGATTCCGATGTAACCTGCAACCACCAGCTGGGTTGGTGACGTCGCAACCTTCAGTCACAAGCTGGCCTCTTATTGGCGCCGCAACTAGCCTCTCTTGCTGCCTTCGGCAACTTTTCCTGCCTCCCTCACCAGCTCTTCATTGCCCCAAACCCATTCTGCTTACATCCACCAAGCCGCCGTCTCAAAGACCTCTCTCCTTCACAGTCGTAGCACCCCGCAATTGCGAGCAGTTGCATCACCCCCCCCTCTCCCCGCCATTCGCCGCCACCTCCGTCCTCCTCATCGTCCCCCACTAGTCACTCCCCGTCATCTCGCACCCCCACCCCTGCCTTTGTCACCGCTATTTATAGAAGTTTGTGTTTGACGGTTGAAAGTTGATTGTTTTGTTGATTTTGTAAAGTTTGATTTGGTTTTGAAGTGTTGTTTTTTATTTCTACTTTGTGGAAGATTTGGGCGATCTCCGCGATATTCAACCACTTCATATAGGTACCTTGCCAAGCCACCCACCACCCGTTCGACAAAAAACCCCACCCAACGCCCACTGTGCGAGCACCCAGCTTGCCCTGTGCATCTGAGACCTCTTTTATTGTGTTGGCAGCCATTCTACCTTCAATATAGTTATAATAGAAACTAAAATCAAGTGTCATTTGAAAACTTGGCCTAAAATTGAAAGGAAATCGGACTCAGTTGCACATGATGTATTAGAAAAAACATAAAGTCAAAGCATTGATGGGTCATACTGTATTTTACATGAAAATAATTTATAAATTTGTCTCCCTTTATGACCAAATGCAATCAACAACATAGCAACCAAGACAAATTGTTAATAAAACATCACTTCTGAACATATAAATGCTATTAAGCTCGCAAAACTAAAGCTTATGGATGCAACTCAGATCGCATTTGAATTCAAAGCTTAAATTTTTCCAGTCCACAGGTTCCATCAAGTCCTAGAATTTGTAATAAGTTCAAATAGATGTTGTGTTTTTTTGAGTTTGTGAAAAAAAAAATTTGTATATAATTTTTTGTTAAATTCTAGTAACACATTATTTTTAATAAAAAATATTGGAGGGATAAATTGGTAATTTATATTTGTATATAGTTGAGGGCATATTAATAATTCATATTTAAAAAGTGAGTATATTGGTAATTGAATCTCTTGAAATGACATAAAAATATATTAAATCAAATAGAAAAAAATATTTTAGTCTTTACAACTAAATAATAACAGATTTTTCTAACGGAACGATGGGTGGGAATGTATCGTTTCGCCAAACCTTGAGTGGGAAAACGCCGTTCTCCCAAGATGGAAGATCTCAATCATTGAAAATTATTATTATTATTATCTAGTTTGTATATCAATCAATGGCATATAATGGTAAAAATGGTGAGTTAAAAATAATTTCCCTTTAATCAAAAAAAAAAAAAAAAAAAGAGGGGGTAAATTAGGTCCATATGTAGAATTAAGTTGGGCTTATCAACCCCTGGGCCCAATTATAAAAAAATTGGACCTTATGAAAAACCATATGCCGACCGACAAGAAGTTCTAAATTCTGATTTTACAACCACCTCGGCTCCGGAGAACCTGAGAAAGTTAGCAGACCAAAAAAGGATGAAACTAACGTGGAACAAGAACAAGAACAACAAGAAGCGGCCATTAACACAATTTTCTAACCTCCCTTTCGACCAAGACGACAGCGGTGCTGATCAAGACCTTCAAAAGGACGGTGATAGTGAGCCTCGAGAGCCTTTGAACACCAAACAACTTGCCGAATCATTTCAATCCCAGGGCAATAAGCTTGCCGAGGTTTACTCCTTTATCCATTTCTTTAATGGTGTTTTTTGTTTAAAGTTTATATTTTGTTGTGTGTTTTCTGATGAATACGTGTTGGTAAATGAAAATTTTATACTTTAGTTTTGTATGCTTGGTTTGTTTAAATTCAACTAAATTCTGATGCTTGTCGAGAAATTTTAAAATCATGTAATGCTGTGTTTACATGAATGGTTACTGGGTATGTCCCGTTGCTGCTAATTTCTTAATTGATTGAATTCAAAATTTTAAAGGGAAGGGCATATCTCGAGGAACAACTGAACAAGCTAGCAGAGTACCGTTTAAATTTTATGGATATACAGTTAAGTAAGGGAATAAGATACTAAGAAGAAGATTTTTAGTGGTTTGGGTGAATGGATACTTGCCTCATAAGGTCAATCTTCGTTGTTTGGTATTTCTTAATCATATTCACTTTTTGCGACTTAATTTGTGGGACAACCTTAGATGGCTGTTAAATTTGTTTCATTTTAGTGTCTGAATAATGAGATCTTGTCATGCATATTTAAGGGATTTCGTGTGAAATGCTTTAGAAAGTTAGAGGGTAAGTCCCTCCCATCTTTCAGTGCTTGTTAGTTGATATGTATATGGCAATTGTTTGTGATAGCACTAAATAACAGCAGTCTTACTTCATGTCATTGTACTTTCTTATCTACATGCTTGACTAACTTCATCAACGTGGCACATTTGTTTTGAAGGATGGGAAATATCGGGAAGCACTTGGGAAATGGGAGGCTGCTCTTAATTTGATGCCTGAAAATGCAGTTTTGCACGAACAAAAGGCACAAGTTTTGCTTGAAATTGGGGATGCGTGGAATGCGTTGAAGGCAGCAACTCGTAAGACTGAGTTCACATTCCCCCTCTGTTTATTTTATATAATTCTTATATAAAATTTAGCATGTCCGTAAAAAAAGTATAAGCTTAAATGTACCTAATGTGTAATTGTTCTATCATAATTGACAGCAGATGCGTGTAGTAGGCCATCATTCGAACACTTTTTTCCTTAAGCTCCTTTTATTGTCTTATATTTTGAAACAGGTCATTTTTTTTTTCTTCTTTTTGTTTACATTTCGATCAAAAGCAAGCTAGGAATTTACAAGTGCAATATGTCCAGTAAAACTATGTTTGCACCTTTAGGTTCTTTGGTGCTGAGTTTTATGCTTTGGGAGTTTGCAAGTATTTTTCGCCGATATACTGTTTACAAATCTTACATTGAACTTGACAGGAGCCACTGAATTGGAACCATCATGGGCTGAGGTATTTTGAGCTTTCTGACTTTGCTTGCTTCTTACATATAGAATTCTTGTATTATTAAGCAACAATAGCTCATTTTCCTTTAAACTAAATTTGATCCTTGTTACTAATTTCCTACTAGATACTTCTTTTATGGTGTTTAATTCTTAAAGGACTTTATTATCTGTCATGATTTTGCAGAAATTGAGCTGATTATCTAATGTAATCTAAAACATTTGACATTTTAAAGATTTCCTACCAAGCCATATGAAGCTAATAGAAAAATGCAGATGCTCTTGCTTTTTAAAGAACTGACTTTGATGCATGGGATTTGGTAATTCTTATCAGTAGCATCATTGTTACCTTGTGCTACCCCTGAAACCACTGATTAGAGTTGCTAATTTTGTTTATCCCTGAGTAACATTCTAATAAATTTTAATCATCAAACAATACGATTGACATAGAAGAGAAGTTATGAGAAGCTTCATATATTTTACTTTTAGATCTATATAACGTACAACCTTCAAACTTGTAGTTTTTTCACATTGAGTTCATTGTGCACTGCACTTGAGTACAATTTGTTCCTCATTTCACTGGTAAATTTGTTGTTTTCACTGTTAGATAGATCAGTAGTAAAAACTAAATGTTAAGAAGCCCTTGTGTAGGCATGATCATTTCTCTGCTTCCATAGATGCTGCTGTTAAAGGACCATTATGGCCCATAAATAGTTTGTACACCAATGCTACTGATTCAAATACTGCCAAACCATAAAGTTTCACGAGTCATGTCATTTAGAACTAGCTAGTTTTTGAATCAACCAAAAAAGCTCCTAGGTTTAGGTTTGATTGTTGAAGTTTTTCATGTAATCAACATTAAGTTTCCAGCAAATGATAGTGAACTCCAATTAGATGTTTATTTTGCTAATATCTCACGGAGGTGGTTTCTTTCAGGCATGGATCACCCTTGGCAGAGCACAATTAAACTTCGGGGAGCCTGATAGTGCAATGGAAAGCTTTGACAAAGCATTAGCTATGAAGGTATGCCGATATTATGTTTCTGTAAACTTTGCCCTCAAGTTTTAGGAATGTTAACTGAATGACAGTATAACTTTTGGTGCAACTTTCTTTTCTCCCCTTGTACAGCCTGATTCTGAGGAGGCTCGAGATGACAGAAAGACAGCATTTCATCTTGTAAAGAGAAGAAAGCAGCTACATTTATCAGGCTTGGATTCTGATACAAACCGTTTTGTGGTTGGTGACAAGACTGGAACATCCTAAAGGCCTACAAGAAGTGAGTTTTTGTTTGTTGATATGAGAGAGAGTAGGATAACCGTACGTTAGTGATAAACATTGCCTTGAAAATATTTTTGCCCAGGAAGGCATTGTTGTCAGCCGAAATCTTTGGATGAAATATTTTCATGTAAAATATCATATGCCTTTTTTTTTTTTTTTAAAATACAAATTGGACAAAAACTCTTCATGAGCCTGTATATTGTTTAACAAGTTGTGCGAAGTTGTAGCTGTGCAATACCTTCATGCCATTATGTTGTATACTTTTTTCTTTTGTTACTAAACAATCGGCATTAGTTAAAGAATGTATAGTTAATAGGTCTTGACAAATCAGTTAGAGAAGGCCAATTTCCTTGCTACTTCATGGCCTAAGAATTACAACATTTCGAGATTTATGGAGCAAAAGGACAAAACTATGGACACTTGAGCAATTAACTCATCCATCAAAACAAATTCCCGAAGGTCTCGATTCAACTCAATCCATAGCATTAACAATTTCTCCATGTAGGAACTTCTGAATCTGCCCAGTTGAACTCTCTTAACTGAACGTGCCATTAATTAGTATTAAGTATGGAAGAAGCAAAACTCAGTTTGGTTGCATTACAAAGAATTAACCTTAACACAGCAGCGATACTCGAGAAGCCAACGACAATTTTATTTTCTACTTTTTTCCTTGTAGAAATTATTCAAAGCCAACATGTGATTCATTCACATTCGGTCACTTTCAATTTCGAAAGAGTGTTGTCTTATAGTACAACTTGCAAGTCGAATCATAAATTATTTAACATTCAGAGCAAATAATTGATGTGAACCGTAATCATATCAGTAATAATATATGGTCACCAATTAAATAAAATAGTTAAATTAATAAACCTTATACCAACGCATAAACATTTCTCTTCTGCTTCCTGTAATTCATATAATCCTTTCAACGATTCACCCAATTCAAACCTTACAATCAATGGATCAACTAAACCCTAAACCTGTAAACTCTTCTCCTCTCACCCCAATAGGATTTCTTGAAAGAGCAGCAACTGTCTATGGCGATTGCCCTTCCCTTGTCTTCAACACCACCACCTACACTTGGTCACAGACCCATCGTCGATGCCTCCAACTCGCATCATCACTCTCATCTAACGGTATCAAGACTGGCCACGTCGTCTCTGTTGTGGCACCAAACATTCCAGCCATGTACGAACTCCACTTTGCGGTCCCCATGTCTGGTGCCATCCTCAACAACATCAACACAAGGCTCGATGCCCGCACCGTATCATTGCTCCTGCAACATAGCGAATCTAAACTCGTCTTTGTTGATCAGCACCTGAGCTCTCTTATCCTTAAAGCTCTCTCTTTGTTCCCACCTAATATCGAAACCCCGAGGCTCGTCCTCATCACCGATGATGATGATGATGACACGTCATCATTACCAACCGCTGAATTCATCGACACTTACGAAAACATGGTAAAAGAGGGTAATCCTGACTTCAGGTGGGTCCGTCCCAAGAGTGAATGGGACCCAGTAGTTTTAAACTACACATCTGGCACAACCTCGGCTCCTAAGGGAGCGGTGCACTGCCACAGGGGACTCTTCATCGTCGTCGTTACTTCACTAATCGATTGGGCGGTTCCCGAATCAGCCCTTTTTTGTGGACCTTACCTATGTTTCATGCAAACGGTTGGTGCTTCCCTTGGGGCATGGCTGCCGTCGGTGCAACGAATGTTTGCCTCCGAAAATTAGACGTGTCCACCATCTACGGCTTGATTAAACAACACGGTGTGACCCACATGTGTGGTGCACCTGTGGTTCTCAACATGCTATCAAATCCATCAGAGGCTGAACCTCTTCAACATCCGGTCCACATTCTAACGGTGGTGCTCCGCCGCCAGCACCGGTGCTGTCTCGAATCGAGTCACTCTGTCATCGTGATCATGTTGCGGGTTGACTGGGGAGCCGGTGTCGTTTTGTCATGTGGATGGAAACAACAATGGAACAAATTACCTACAAATGAGAGGTCAAAGTTAAAGGCAAGACAAGGAGTTGGGACAATCGGAGAGTCAACTGGAGTGGTGGATCTGAATTCAGGAGAAGTGTGAAACGAGATGGGTTGACTCGCGGGGAGAAGTTTTGCGAGGAGGATCCATCATGTTAGGTTATCTCCAAGACACGAAAAGTACATCCAATGTTTAAAAGATGATGGTTGGTTTTACCTGGAGATGTGGCGGTGATGCATCTGATGGTTATGTAGAGATCAAAGATCGATCAAGGATGTGATTATAAGTGGTGGAGAGAAGATAAGCAGCACGGAGTCGAGTCGACTTTGTATTCTCATCTATGATTATGAAGCCGCTGTGGTGGCCAACCACACCGCTTTGGCGGAACTCCATGTGGTTTGTGTGTTTGAAGAGTGAGTTGACTCAGAAACCTACGGAGAAAGAGATAATAGAGTTTTGTAGGGCTCGGTTGCGCATTACTCGGTACCCAAGACTGTAATTTTTAAGGATGAGTACCAAAAACCGCAACTGGGAAGATTCAGCAATTTGTTCTAAGGGAAATTGCAAAGTCGATGTTGTATTCACGTATGTAGTAAGTAAAGCTCTGCACTAATAAATAAATTGCTTTCTCATCATTCTGAACCACGGTATAGCCGTTTCAATTTTAATTTTCTTTAATTATAAATCGAAATATTATGAATATCGTGAATTATGGAAGTTGGTATCGTGGAATTACGATAGTTTTGAGACATTGACTTCTGGGGAAACGGCAGGATCTACATATATTGCTACTTAATTCAAAGTCCATGCATAAGGAAGAAAGGCTGTTGCCGTAATTAAGGGGCTACTAGATTCTTGGTGTACTTAATTTTTAATCTTTGAAAGCGAAGTGCAAGAAGTTATTGAAATTGAATATAAATGTTCATGGCTAAGTCCCCACATTAAAACTTGTTTTTTGTTGGTTGCAAATCCAAAGTCCTATTGAAAGGATGTAATACCATTAACAAATAAGCGTATTGGGGTTATCCTAAAAAATGATTTATTGGTGAAAGTAATTCGATGGAGTTTTTGTTAAGTAATCTATATAGGAGTATTATATTAGACATAATGACAAAGGAGATTATGAAGAAACCCTTATACAGATTTTTTTTTTCTTTTCTGGAATCAAGGGAAAAAAATAAGGTAAATGGATATTAATACCAAACCATGGTGAGGCCTCGGGAATACCAACAAAAAAGATAAAAAGTAAATCTTACCTTTAACTAGGCCCTTTTCATAAAACCCTGAGACATTTCTAACGGACCTGTAGTGAAAGTATCCCAAACAGAAGTAGTGAATTAGGATTATCATGGGTATTACTTAAAATGTCTCACTGAATTATTAATAGGGTCATACTGAAATGATTTATTTAACTGTCAATTTTAGAGTATTAAGAAATTATAAAACACGTAAACTAATCTGGATACTCCAGTCTCAAAAAAAAAAAAAGGTATCCAAAACATTATTTCAACCTTTTTTTTTTTGTTTTTTATCATGACAATTTGGAAATTGGACCTAATCAAGTGGTTCAAATTTTTTACAAGAAGGCAAACCAAATCACATTCAAAATTAAACTTGAAAGTTCCGAAATAATTAAGATACGTTTCCAAATTCAGCAAACACAAAAGGCCACTGCCATTTGATTACAGGAGTGGTACTGGAAAGCAGATGATAAATAATTCACAATTTCTCCGAAAATAATGTACCATGCTTGCATGGCTTCTTACGTGAATAAATAACCTATCATCATAAAACTTTAAGTGAAGGGTGTCACGTTTTGGGTTATTAATTCCTAAATACGTGAAATAAACATTTTCTTGCCATTTCTCTGAGCACAAATTTCTTAATTTTCCTGTAGCGGTCTTAGGAAGCTTTCTCTGAAGACGACAGTCTTGGAAAATGTAGTGCGGCAACCTCGCCTGAAAAGTCTATTATCTCTCCAGTAAGTACTTGCAAGAAGTCATTCTAAACATACAAAAGCGCATGGCGTCTCCTGCCAAAACGGGTCCGGTCGAGCCACCACGGCTGCTTCATTAATCATAGGATGAGAATACAATACGGATTCAACCTGAGCACTGCTTATGTTTCTCCCACACTTATAATACATCCTTTGATCGATCTTTGATCTCTACATACCATCGGATGCATTACAGCCACATCTCCAGTATAAAACCAACCTATCTTTCATGCATTTGGATGTAGTTTGGATCTTTAAGATAGCCTAACATGAGAGACCCTCTCGTAAAACGAGCTCGCCACCAGCTAACCCATCTCGTTAACACTTACCACGATTCTAAAAAGGACAGGCGCTGGTGGTGGAGCGCCGCCAGTAAGAATGTGGACAGGATGTGCAATACGTTCAGCATTCCGATATTGTTTGATAGCATATTGAGCACTACCGGTGCACCACACATGTATGTCACTTATGTTTTTTAATCAAAGTGTATATCGTTGACACATCAATTTACGGAGGCAAATGTTGGTTGCACCGACGGCAGCCATACCCCAAGTATAGCACCATCCGTTGCCATGAAACATTGGCAGGGTCACAAGTAGACTGGCTGATTCGATACTGACCAATCAATAAGTGAATTAATGGTGGCAACGAACGGCCCTTGTGAGAAAGGACCACACCTTTCGGAGAAGAAGTTGTGCCAGATGTGTAGTTTAAAACCAAGGGTCCCATTCACTCTTTGGCTCAATCCACTTGAACTCAGAATTACCCTTTTTACCATGTTTTCATAAGTATCATGAAACCAATTAGGGTTAGCTGAGGTGTCTTCATCATTCACAGAACAAGACGGGGGTTTCAGTATTAGGCGGGAACAAAGAGACGGCTTCCAGGATGGAGAGCTGAAAATGTGGTCAACAAAGACGAGCTTTGACTCGCTATGTTGCAGAGTGATGATACGGTGGGGCGTCAGCCTTGTGTTAATGGTGTTAAGGATGGCTCCAGACATGGGGACTGCGAAGTGGAGCTCGTACATAGGTGGAATGTTGGGGGCCACAACGGATACCACGTGGCCAGTCTTGATACCGAGAGATGAAAGTGATGATGCCAGTTGGAGGCATCGACGGTAGGTCTGTGTCCACGTGTAGGTGGTGTGTTGTAGACAAGTGAAGGGTAATCACCATAAACAGTTGCAGCTCTTGCCAGGAAGGTTACAGGGGTGAGAGGGCAAGAGTTTACAAGAATGGTTCAGTTGGTCCATTGATTTTCCAAGAATAAGAAACAGAGGGAAGATACCAACGTTAATTAATCAAGTGAATATCACTCTTATAAACTTGTAATACAATTATCATTTTCAAACTTACTTATAGATATGGTATATTATATTCCATGATTGGGTGTTTGGTGAGTCACGTGAGTGTTGATTGTTAGTTGTTTTCCTAAATCAAATTTCAAATGAGTCATGGTCATGGAAAGCCTCGGTAAATGAAAACAGAATCGAAACTGAAAACATAGTAACATTACTACAAGAATTGAGCATTAAATTATTCGTTACATACAACTTTACCCATAAATTCCCCAAATTCAGGAAGTAAACTTAGCCTAAAGTTGTCCTTCATGATATTATTGTAATTTAATAACCGTCTTTGGACTTTGTAAAATTTTTTATCTGACTGGTGTCGAAAGGTTAAACCCAATTGACTACTGTAATAGTTGGTTAAGTTCGAAAGCTTAAGGAGGTTCGTGAAAGTTCTTGTAAATATTCTTGAGCGCGGGCCGAAGGGCGTGTATAACCAAGACTCAGGTGGTCCTTCACGTTAATGTTAGAAATTTTATTCTTTGTAATCAATGACCAATCCATATAAATACATATGGTGGAGTAGTGTCATTTCAGGTTTTAAGTTTGATAATAGATGACACATATATATTTTGCATCTCAAATGAATTATTTATATTAATTAATTGATGTGTCCATGATTATACTTAAAAAATAATATCACATCACTTTGACGTTAAAAATCCTTTAAAAATTAAAATATATTCTTGAATGTATTATATCATTAGGTGACGTTAATTTGCTTAGTTGTCTAACCAATAGAAGTTATGGTGAGGAGATGTTTTTTTTTTTTTTTTTTTTTTGAAATAAATTGTAATTTATTGATAAAGACGAAGGATATATCCAAGAAAACCAAAGCAGGAAAAATATTTTTCTCCGTTAAGAAAAATGAGAAAATTGTCGTACACTTAACTTAGTTATTCAATATGTTCTAATCCAGAAATAGATTGATTAGTTAACAATAAAATATCATTTTTATCAATCATCAAAGCATGCCACATGAAAGCCCTTCTGTCCTTGTTGCCTAATTAATTAGATTTTTTTTTTTTAAATATTATATTTCTTCTTCGATCAGGTCACCATGAAACCTTCATATTACGTACATTATGGAGAATATCAGTTTAGCCTGTTTAGGAGTCAATGACATCGCCAAGCAGTTGTATTATATGTTATTCGTGGATGTGGGAAACAAGAGAATCATATTAATAATTAATTATTAAACTAATTAATCATTTAGCCCGTTTCATTAATTTATTTATATTTTTACTGATTATTATAAGTTTCAACATGAGTAGAGAAGACATAATCCGAGTGATCAATTTGGTTTAAATAATCAGTAAACAATTTTTTTCACCCAAGGTTTGCCTTAATGACTCTTTCCCATCCAAAAGGTTTCAAAATACCACTTTCCTACCCAAAGTTTATGTTCCGTTTACTATCCAAAATAGACTTTTCGATTCGACAGCCAATGGAGAGAAAACTCAGTCCAAACAGTTGAGGCTTTTGAAGAGAGGATGTCGGTGAGTCTTTTGATGGTCAGGATTGGTTGAAATCTGACTTGGGAGGGGCGGTTGAACGTTTCACAAATCACTCGATTGTCGGCGATTGATGGGGTAGGCAAGAGTAAGGTTTGAGGGGTTTTGATGAGTGATGATGTTGGCACAGAATAGTGGTGGTTTAGGATCGCAAAGATGTTGGAACCGACCAACAATTGGTTAGAATATAAACTTTGGGTGGGAAAATAGTATTTTGAAACTTTTTGGGTGGAAAAGTGTCATTAAGGCAAACCTTGGGTGGGAAAAAATTGTTTACTCTAAGGGTGTGTTTGGTTTGGGAGTAATCTCCCATTACTGGGGAAATGTCATCTGATATTACTTTATTAGCACGTTTGATTGTCAAGTAATATAACATTCAGGTAATCTTCTAAAACCAATAGTAATACTATTGGTAAGATGGGAGGTAATCTGATTACTTTTATTTTCTTAGGTATTTTAAAAATATTTGGTAATCTTATTTTTGTAACAATTTTATCCATCACTATTAAAACTTTTGGACAATAATGGCCTCAATTTGAAAAAAATTTACAAAAAAATTCAAGGACTATTTTATCCTTATATACAAAATTTTTAGAACATAAATACCCTTGCACTTTGAAAAAAATTACCCAAGGCCACCACCGCTAGCCACCGACCATCGAAAACCACCATCGACGGCTTCCTGTTGATGCCGATATGGCAGTTTTCAGCTAGATATTTGGCCGTAAACTGCCAGATCTATGAATCCTAGCCGTCAACAGCCAAAATACTTGTCGTCAGTGATAGCTAGATATCTAGCCATCAACGGCAAGAACTCTGGCCATCAATGGCCAGAACTTTGGCCATTAACGAATGCCAGTTCTGGCCGTAGATTTGGCCATTTCCAGCCAGATCCATCATGGGTCCGGCTGGAAATGGACTTACGGCCACTACCGCAGTCGCTGACTGTGGTGGCAGGCAGCCGGTAGTGGCTTGGGGTGGTGGGGGTATTTTTGTTAAGTTTTAAACTTTTTTTATTGTTGGGGTGTTTTAGCAAAATTTCAAATGTATAAGGTTAAATGAAATTATTTAAAAGTAATATTATATTAATATTTAAAAAGGAGGATAATTTAGTAAATTATATAACATGCTTATCAATTTATTCCTCTAAACCAAACATATTAATATAACATACCTACCAATTGATTCAAACCAACCAAACACATTTTCTTAAATATTCTCAATAATTTTTAAAATAATTTATCTTTTAATTAATATAACATTCCTAATAATACAGGTATATAACATTCTTGAACCAAACAAACACTTAAATAATTGTACAAAACCCAATTGCATAGATGATCGTGAAAACATTGGGAGTTATGCGTGAGTCGTGAACCATGATATATACAAGTTTTAAATCCAGAAAGAAAGCTATATTAGGATCAATGAATTTGGTTTCAGATATCATATTACAACATTTAAATAAAGCATATCTGAATCATTATTTAGATAATGTTAGTTAACTTATTGTATTTATAATAAACATATTGCTGTTAAATAGAAAGTTGAAAAATTAAGAATGAAACGATTTTAATTAATTTGCTTGGTTTATTAATTCTACAAACGTGAATGCAACATTGACTTGGCAATTTCCCTCAGCACAAATTTCTGAATTTTCCCAGTTGATGTCTTGGGAAGCTCATCCTTGAAGATTACAGTCTTGGGTACCATGTAATGAGGCAACCGTGCCCTACAAAACTCTATTATCTCCTTCTCTGTAGGTTTCTGATTGAACTCACTCTTCAAACACACAAACGCACATGGCGTCTCCTGCCAAAACGGGTCTGGTTGAGCCACCACCGCCGCTTCATTAATCATCGGATGAGAATACAATACGGATTCAACCTCCGCACTGCTTATATTCTCTCCACCGCTTATAATCACATCCTTTGATCGATCTTTGATCTCTACATAGCCATCAGGATGCATTACACCAACATCTCCAGTATAAAACCAGCCGTCATCTTTCATACATTTGGACGAACTTTCCGGGTCTTTCAGATAACCTAACATGATTGTCCCTCCGCGAAAAACGATCTCGCCACGTGTCACCCCATCTCGTTGGACGCTCTGTCTTGACTTGGGATCCACCACATCCATTTCGGTCAATCCGATTGTCCCGACTCCTTGTCTTGCTTTAATCCGCGATCTCTCACTTGATGGCAATTTGTTCCATTGAGGTTTCCATGCACACGAAACGACGACACCAGATGTTTCAGTTAACCCGTATCCATGACTCACTATAAAACCCTTTGACTCAGCTCTGAAGAGGACCGGGGCTGGTGGCGGAGCACCGGCAGTAAGGACGTAGACCGGATGATCAAGGGGTTCAGCTTCTGCATAGTTTGAGAGCATATTGAGCACCACTGGTGCACCGCACATGTGTGTGACTTTATGTTGTTTAATCAAAGCGTAAATGCTGGCAACCTCAATTCTACGGAGGCAAATATTGGTTCCACCGACGGCAGCCATACCCCAAGGGAAGCTCCACCCATTGACGTGAAACATTGGCAGGGTCCACAAATAAACGGGTTGATTCGGAACTGACCAATCTATCAGTGAAGAAACTGTGGCAATGAAGAGCGCCCTGTGGCATTGCATTACACCTTTAGGAGACGAAGTTGTACCAGATGTATAATTCAGAACCATAGGATCCCATTCACTCGTGGGCCGAACCCATTTGAAGTTTGAGTCACCCTTTTCCACCATGTTTTCGTAAGTATCAATAAATCCAACGGTCGCTGATGAGGCGTCATCGTCAGTGATGAGAACGAGACGCGGGGTTTCGGCATGAGGCGGAAACAAAGAGATAGCTTCCAGGATAAGAGAGCTCAAAAGGTGATCAACGAACACGAGTTTTGATTCGCTGTGTTGGAGGATTAATGATATGGTGCGGGCGTCAAGCCTCGTGTTAATGGTGTTAAGAATAGCCCCAGACATTGGAATCGAGAAATGGAGCTCGTACATAGCAGGAATGTTGGGGGCTACGACAGACACCATGTGGCCACTCTTGATACCAAGAGATAAAAGAGATGACGCCACCTGGATGCATCGACGGTAGGTTTGTGACCAGGTGTAGGTGGTGGTGTTGTAGACGACAGAAGGGCAATCACCATAGACAGTTGCAGCTCTTTCCAGAAAGCGTATTGGAGAAAGAGGGGAAGAGTTTACAAGATTTGGCTTTAGTTGGTCCATCGAGGGTAAGGTTTCGTATCTTCCCTTCTATTTTGTGATCTTCATTCGTTGGTAAATGTCCCATTTATAACATTTCGAGACTTATGGTTGCGTTTGGTTTGTTTTTTCCGTCCATATTCCCGATGCTATTCTCAAAATATTTATTTGTTTAATTATTTGATATATACTACTATATTTTTTAATTATTTTTAAACCCCTTAAATTTATTAATTTTATTAAATACCCCTAAGAAAAAAAGTTAAAAATTAACAAAAATACCCCCACTCACCCATAGTTACCAGATTCCGACAACCACTATCAGTGGTAGCTGAAATTTGTCACAACGGCCTACAAACCATCGGAACTAGCCGGTAAGTCACCGATCTGGCCTTTTTGGGCCATATCTACAGTGAATTTGACCGAAAAAAGGCCAGATTTGACTGTCAACGATAGCTAAAGAAATGGTCGTCGTTGACTATCAACGACGGCCATATATTTGGCCACTACTAACAACTAAATCTAGCCTTTTCTGGCCAGATCCACTACGGATCTAGCCGAAAAAAGCCAGATCGATGCACATCCGGCTAGATCTGACCGATCTGAGTCGTAATGCCAGATTCCGATCAGATTCCGGCAGTGGTGGCCGAAATCTGGTACTATGGGTGGGTGGGGATGTTTTTGTCATTTTATAAAAATTTTATATATCGGGGTATTTAGTTAAATTAGTAAACTTAGGGAGTTTTTTTATAAATTTTTAAATTTTACCTCGTAATAATAACCCAATCCAATTATCCAATACTATCTCTAAAATTCTATCCAAAATAATAAACCAAATACACCTCATTTTATTTCTCTAAAGTCAATTTATTTTATAAAACAAATAATAAAAGCATAGCATAGGCCATAGGATTCCCAAGAATCTCCATGTTTTGCGTAATACACTACCAACGATTATCCAAGTTGAATTATAAAACTCTTGTGCAATTAAGAAGCTGATTGGGAGGGAACACACCCATCTTTTTAGATATTGATGAAATGTTAAATTAATATTGCCACAGAACAATTATTAATCACAGGCACGTGAACAATTTACGAATTAGTTATGAGATCTTGAGTAATTAATTCTTTTTTTTTTTTTTTGCTCTGCCAAAAACGGGGGTGAGCCACCACCGCCGCTTCCATAATCATCAGGAAAAATATTTTTCTCCGTTAAGAAAAATGAGAAAATTGTCGTACACTTAACTTAGTTATTCAATATGTTCTAATCCAGAAATAGATTGATTAGTTAACAATAAAATATCATTTTTATCAATCATCAAAGCATGTCACATGAAAGCTCTTCTGTCCTTGTTGCCTAATTAATTAGATTTTTTTTTTTTTAAATATTATATTTCCTCTTCGATCAGGTCACCATGAAACCTTCATAGTACGTACATTATGGAGACTATCAGTTTAGCCTCTTTAGGAGTCAATGACATCGCCAAGCAGTTGTATTATATGTTATTCGTGGATGTGGGAAACAAGAGAATCACATTAATAATTAATTATTCATTTTCAAACAAATTAATCATTTAGCCCGTTTCATTAATTTATTTATATTTTTACTGATTATTATAAGTTTCAACATGAGTAGAGAAGACATAATCCGAGTGATCAATTTGGTTTAAATAATGAGTAAACAATTTTTCCCACCCAAGGTTTGCCTTAATGACTCTTTCCCATCCAAAAAGTTTCAAAATACAACTTTTTTACCCAAAGTTTATGTTCCGTTTACTATCCAAAATAGAATTTTCTATTCGACAGCCAATGGAGAGAAAACTCAGTCCAGATAGTTGAGGCTTTTGAAGAGGGGATGTCGGTGAGTCTTTTGATGGTCGAGATTGATCGAAATCTGACTTGGGAGGGGCGGTTGAAAGTTTCACAAATCACTCGATTGCCGACGATTGATAGGGTAGGCAAGAGCAAGGTTTGAGGGGTTTTGGTGAGTGATGATGTTGGAACAGAATAGTGGTGGTTTAGGATCGCAAAGATGTTGGAACCGACCAACGATTGGTCAGAATATAAACTTTGGGTGGGAAAATGGTATTTTGAAACTTTTTGGGTGGAAAAGTGTCATTAAGGCAAACCTTGGGTGGCAAAAAATTGTTTACTCTAAGGATGTGTTTGGTTTGGGAGTAATCTCCCGTTACTGAGGAAATGTCATCTGATATTACTTTATTACCACGTTTGATTGTCAAGTAATATAACATTCAGGTAATCTTCTAAAACCAATAGTAATACTATTGGTAAGATGGGAGGTAATCTGATTACTTCTATTTTCTTAGGTATTTTAAAATTACCTGGTAATCTTATTTTTGTAACAATTTTATCCATCACTATTAAAACTTTTGGACAATAATGGCCTTAATTTGAAAAAAAATTACAAAAAAATTCAAGGACTATTTTATCCTTATATACAAAATTTTTAGAACATAAATACCCTTGCACTTTGAAAAAATTACCCAAGGCCACCACCGCTAGCCACTGACTGTTGGAAACCACCATCGACGACTTCCTGTTGATGCTGATATGACAGTTTTCAGCCAGATATTTAGTCATAAACCGCCAGATCTACGACTCCTAGCCGTCAATAGCCAAAATACTTGCCGTCAACGATAGCTAGATATATAGCCATCAACAATAAGAACTCTGGCCATCAATGGCTAGAACTTTGGCCATTAACGAATGCCAGTTCTGGTAGTAGATTTGGCCATTTCTGGCCAGATCCATCATGGGTCTGGTTGAAAATGGACTTACGGCCACTGCCGTAGTCGTCGACTGTGGTGGCAGACAGTCGGTAGTGGCTTGGGGTGATAAGGGTGTTTTTGTTAAGTTTTAAACTTTTTTTATTATTGGGGTGTTTTAGCAAAATTCAAATGTATAAGGTTAAATGAAATTATTTAAAAGTAATATTATATTAATATTTAAAAAAAAGGGCAATTTGGTAAATTATATAATATGTCTATCAATTTATTCTTCCAAACCAAACATATTAATATAACATACTTACCAATTGATTCCAACCAACCAAATACATTTTCCTAAACATTCTCAATAATCTTCTAAATAATTTATCTTTTCATTAATATAATATTCCTAATAATACAAATATACAATATTCACTGAACCAAATACACCTTTAAATAATTGTACAAAATCCAAGTGCATAGATGATCGTGAAAACATTGGGAGTTATGCGTGAGTCGTGAACCATGATATATAAAAGTTTTAAATCCAAAAAGAAAGCTATATTACGATCAATGAATTTGGTTTCGGATATCATATTACAACATTTAAATAAAGCATATCTGAATAATGATTCAGATAATGTTAGTTAACTTATTGTATTTATACTAAACATATTGCTGTTAATTAGAAAGTTGAAAAATTAAGAATGAAACGATTTTAATTAATTTGCTTGGTTTATTAATTCTACAAACGTGAATGCAACATTGACTTGGCAATTTCCCTCAGCACAAATTTCTGAATTTTCCCAGTTGATGTCTTGGGAAGCTCATCCTTGAATATTACAGTCTTGGGCACCATGTAATGCGGTAACCGTGCCCTACAAAACTCTATTATCTCCTTCTCTGTAGGTTTCTGACTGAACTCACTCTTCAAACACACAAATGCACATGGCGTCTCCTGCCAAAACGGGTCTGGTTGAGCCACCACCGCCGCTTCATTAATCATCGGATGAGAATACAATACGGATTCAACCTCCGCACTGCTTATATTCTCTCCACCGCTTATAATCACATCCTTTGATCGATCTTTGATCTCTACATAGCCATCAGGATGCATTACACCAACATCTCCAGTATAAAACCAGCCGTCATCTTTCATACATTTGGAAGAACTTTCCGGGTCTTTCAGATAACCTAACATGATTGTCCCTCCGCGAAAAACGATCTCGCCACGTGTCACCCCATCTCGTTGGACGCTCTGTCTTGACTTGGGATCCACCACATCCATTTCGGTCAATCCGATTGTCCCGACTCCTTGTCTTGCTTTAATCTGCGATCTCTCACTTGATGGCAATTTGTTCCATTGCGGTTTCCATGCACACGAAACGACGACACCAGATGTTTCAGTCAACCCGTATCCATGACTCACTATAAAACCCTTTGACTCAGCTCTGAAGAGGACCGGGGCTGGTGGCGGAGCACCGGCAGTAAGGACATAGACTGGATGATCAAGAGGTTCAACTTCTGCATAGTTTGAGAGCATATTGAGCACCACTGGTGCACCGCACATGTGTGTGACTTTATGTTGTTTAATCAAAGCGTAAATGGTGGCAACCTCAATTTTACGGAGGCAAATATTGGTTCCACCGACGGCAGCCATACCCCAAGGGAAGCTCCACCCATTGACGTGAAACATTGGCAGGGTCCACAAATAAACGGGTTGATTCGGAACTGACCAATCTATCAGTGAAGAAACTGTGGCAATGAAGAGCGCCCTGTGGCATTGCAATACACCTTTAGGAGACGAAGTTGTACCAGATGTATAATTCAGAACCATAGGATCCCATTCACTCGTGGGCCGAACCCATGTGAAGTTTGGGTCACCCTTTTCCACCATGTTTTCGTAAGTATCAATAAATCCAACGGTCGCTGATGAGGCGTCATCGTCAGTGATGAGAACGAGACGCGGGGTTTCGGCATGAGGCGGAAACAAAGAGATAGCTTCCAGGATAAGAGAGCTCAAAAGGTGATCAACGAACACGAGTTTTGATTCGCTGTGTTGGAGGATTAATGATATGGTGCGGGCGTCAAGCCTCGTGTTAATGGTGTTAAGAATAGCCCCAGACATTGGAATCGAGAAATGGAGCTCGTACATAGCAGGAATGTTGGGGGCTACGACAGACACCATGTGGCCACTCTTGATACCAAGAGATAAAAGAGATGACGCCACCTGGATGCATCGACGGTAGGTTTGTGACCAGGTGTAGGTGGTGGTGTTGTAGACGACAGAAGGGCAATCACCATAGACAGTTGCAGCTCTTTCCAGAAAGCGTATTGGAGAAAGAGGGGAAGAGTTTACAAGATTTGGCTTTAGTTGGTCCATCGAGGGTAAGGTTTCGTATCTTCCCTTCTATTTTGTGATCTTCATTCGTTGGTAAATGTCCCATTTATAACATTTCGAGACTTATGGTTGCGTTTGGTTTGTTTTTTCCGTCCATATTCCCGATGCTATTCTCAAAATATTTATTTGTTTAATTATTTGATATATACTACTATATTTTTTAATTATTTTTAAACCCCTTAAATTTATTAATTTTATTAAATACCCCTAAGAAAAAAAGTTAAAAATTAACAAAAATACCCCCACTCACCCATAGTTACCAGATTCCGACAACCACTATCAGTGGTAGCTGAAATTTGTCACAACGGCCTACAAACCATCGGAACTAGCCGGTAAGTCACCGATCTGGCCTTTTTGGGCCATATCTACAGTGAATTTGACCGAAAAAAGGCCAGATTTGACTGTCAACGATAGCTAAAGAAATGGTCGTCGTTGACTATCAACGACGGCCATATATTTGGCCACTACTAACAACTAAATCTAGCCTTTTCTGGCCAGATCCACTACGGATCTAGCCGAAAAAAGCCAGATCGATGCACATCCGGCTAGATCTGACCGATCTGAGTCGTAATGCCAGATTCCGATCAGATTCCGGCAGTGGTGGCCGAAATCTGGTACTATGGGTGGGTGGGGATGTTTTTGTCATTTTATAAAAATTTTATATATCGGGGTATTTAGTTAAATTAGTAAACTTAGGGAGTTTTTTTATAAATTTTTAAATTTTACCTCGTAATAATAACCCAATCCAATTATCCAATACTATCTCTAAAATTCTATCCAAAATAATAAACCAAATACACCTCATTTTATTTCTCTAAAGTCAATTTATTTTATAAAACAAATAATAAAAGCATAGCATAGGCCATAGGATTCCCAAGAATCTCCATGTTTTGCGTAATACACTACCAACGATTATCCAAGTTGAATTATAAAACTCTTGTGCAATCAAGAAGCTGATTGGGAGGGAACACACCCATCTTTTTAGATATTGATGAAATGTTAAATTAATATTGCCACAGAACAATTATTAATCACAGGCACGTGAACAATTTACGAATTAGTTATGAGATCGTGAGTAATTAATTCTTTTTTTTTTTTTTTTTTTTTTGGATTTTAATGGAATTGTTAAGTCCATTCATATTTTTTTAGCGGAGTCATGGAATATTTAGTAGTATTATTTCCATTTCTTTAGACGTAAGAAATTGACTATCTCCATATTAAACATAAATAATGCATGCATTAATTAATCGATGGTTCCATATATTCTTTTAAAATCGGCAAAGTGTTAGTTTTCTTTTGTTGATTTTTATCAGTGTATTTGGTTAATCTAAAGCTGCAGAGTTATTTGGGATTAAAACAACATTTTAAACTCCCAAATGCATATTTATTGAAATGATAGAGCATATATTGGTTTTGCATATGGTAAGATAATTAGATTTCAATACTGATAAAATTCTATAATGGAGATACTACATTAATAGTATTACGTTTGAACTCTTTCTTCTCTAAATTAAATACTTATGTGATTCAATTTTTTTTTTTTTTTAAATATTTAAAGAAAACACTCAAACATGCTCAATATATATATTCAATGTTGTACATGCAATTCGTTAAAGGTCACTGAAAAATCTAAATCGTTGGTATATAGATCAAACCTCAATACTAAATGGTCACTGAAGTGTATCTACTTCTTTAAGGGAGTCACAATTTCAAAGCTAACTCTTTTCAAAATTTGAGTGGGCTATATACACTACTAAATCTACTACTAACACACCTTTTATCCCTACAATATATATTTTTTGGCTTTGAATTATCTAAAAAATCAATCTATAAATTATACTTAATAGTATGGTCACCCTTTTAAAAAATATTCTGATTTTGTTTTGCCTTGCTACAAGGATTTAATCATTTTAAATTCACGTTGTTATTAATTCGTCATGGTTTATGCTTTTTATTGATTGAATATAACATAGGTGCCAACCAGATTCTTATTTTATTTTCTTTGTAATAAATTTAACGAAATACGTATGGATGGAGTTCTATAAAAATTTTAGTGTTTTTATAATCAGCGGAATCGTATTGAAACCAGTTAAAGAAGATGACATATTTGTTTTCTCAATTTTCTGTAATTTATTTCGTGACATTGAATGAGATAAACATAAATCAGATTAAAATTATGGGGCATTTTGTCAACAGCAAAATCTTCCTACATATACGGTTGATGCATTTCCAAATATAATGCTACTTAATTAAATGAAGTTTAGGGAAGTTCTGATTCATCCATAAGAAATATTCTTGTCAACTTTCCCAGTGCATGTTAAATCTCTGAAAGCTCTTCCAGGAAAACCAAATTAGGTTAACATGAAGAGTAGTAAAACTCCTTCATGGTTAATAACAAGAATGAAAAGTGCACTATAGAATCAGACTTAATAACTTGATACATATTGAAGATAAATTGAGAGCAAGAGAAAATTCCCAAATAAGCAAGAGGAAAGTTTTGTTTGAGATAACGTTACCTACCATGTTAACCATTGAAATGATCTACTATACTGATCATTATCAAAGGTAACGTTACCCCTAATAAAATACTGCAGATAACTATAATCCAAATACATAACACAGATTATAACAAGAAAAGAATATCCTTCACATTTTCATTGTAAAACTTTTTGTTCAAAGTTCTCTTCATTTTACAACACAACTGAGGTGAGAAAACATTAAGCTTCTGCTACCCATCCCAGAATATGTACCACATAGTACAAAATGTGCAAACAGAGCGCAGTCGATGTTAAATGAAACCTTTCCGCCAATCAAAACCCAAAGGTTCCCAGAAAATTCACTTGGGCAGGAACCAAAGACTACATAATGTCATCTCTTACACACTGCCAACCACCAATATACAGCCACCATATTCATGTCTAGCCCAGCAGTCATGTATCATAAAGTCAGCAAAATCTAACATTGTTAACCTACCAAAATATTAGTTTCCCCAAACAATATGGCAAAAAAGAAATTCCTTATATCAGGAGAAACATCATTAAAAAAAACAAAATCATTTTCACAAAAGCCATCAAATTTAGATCTTATCCCCTCTTAAGGTTGTTCTTCACTTCAAAGTCTTCTTCGCAGCCAAGTTCTCTTGAAAATTTAAGGTCTTAGCTGCATTTAAAAGCATGTCCATTCCACCTCTACCTCCATCTGATTCCTCCTCACTTTTCGCAATCAGTTCCTTTTCAAGATTTTCGTATGATGATATACCCTCTCTGCTTTTCTTTTTCTGTCCATTTTCATATGCCTTTATACCCTTGTCTCCTTTCTTTTTCTTTTTATTTTCATATACCTCCTTTACCCTGCGTATTTCTTTGAGTCCTGCTTCACATTTTCTGCAAAACCATCCACGCTTAGGAATTGAACTGCGTGGTGGTTCCATACAATAGATATGGTATGCATGATCACAAGTTTCACATATAACAATTTTGTCATCATCTTTATCAGTAAAGCAGCCTCTACATAGACACGAAGGGCAGAGCCAACGGGACCCATACGATTTTGACTGCTTTGGCGTTAAACACCTATTATGATAAAGCTTATAGGGGCAGTAATCGTGGTCACAGTATTGAAACTCATCACACGATGCTACCCTAACTCCACAAATTCCACAAGGGTACATCAGGTATCTTTTCTCTTTAGATTCTTGGATTTCGTCTGTACTACAGTTTGAGTTACCTTCAAAATCAATAAATGTTTCATTCGCTGGACTGGTCCCATCTCCAACTTGAATACCTTGGTTCCTGGGGGCATTCAGCCTCTCACACACTACACAGTTCTCATGAGGCGATCCAATTCCCTTTGCAGTGCAGCTACCACAATACCAACTTTTTGGAGGAATCTCTTTAACAGCTGGCTCGATACAGGAGACATGGTACATTTCTTCACATGAATCGCAAACTAAACAATCCTTCCCATCAGCCTTCTCCTCACAGCGCCTGCAAGTGCAAACCTTATTCACACTACATGCTTCTGGTCGTGCCATTTTAGCATCAGAGTTGGATTCCCCAGTAAACAACTGCTATGTGGGAAATAATTTCAATTACTCAGGACCAACTGAGATTGCATTTAGTATATCATCAAAAGAAACAACTGAAAGATCAAATTGTGCAGTACAAAATTTCAAAGTTCTTCCATCTAATAACTCTAAATTTCATCCAGATACTCCGCAACATTACATTTTAATAAAGCCCAAGTTATCTTACTTTCAATTTCACTGCAACACACAAATAATTGTTCGATATACCCTGAGTTCCCATGATTTATCTGTAAGATAACATGTGTATATGTAACCTAAGTAATTCTTTTAAGCAAGGTAAGTCCTAGGAATGCAGTTCAGTTGGGTTAGGCTAGGGGAAAAAAAAGGCGAGATAAAACAAATAAATTATAAGTAATAGATAAGACAAAATGGACCACTGGAATTCTGAAAACACTGGTCAATCACCCAAACAAATTCTTAAACAAATTTTAAAAGGAAAATGTTACCACAATTAAGAAGCACTTCAATGGCAATAAATTATATACAATGCATCAAGTCCAATCGTAATTATTGCAAAAACATTAGAGTGTGCGACATTGCAAGTCATTTGAAACCTTCTCCTTAATCTATATCCTCCAAAGCACCAAATGCAGCCTAAGCAATCTAATAACTTGTAGTGACAGTAAAATGCACGTCTATCTGATTTCTGAGGATTCAATTATACATAATACCAAAATTAAAGAAGACAGCAAATCAAAGTATCATGCATTAAGAAAGTTTACCTCAATTTTCTCTTCTTCATACTTAGACTGTACTGGGCCTCCAACCTGGAAGGAAAACATTAGAGTAAACTGAGACAGAAGAGCTACAAGTAACCATAAACTGGAAAAATTAAAGTTTAGAACCAATGCAAGAAAACAATTTAGCATATAAAGGAAAGTACTTAAGTACAGTAACATCAGTGAGTAGTCATACATGCTCATTCCAGGAAGTCCTTGAAAATTCTGCAACGCTCTTTGCAAGAGAAATCATTTCAGCACCAATCTCTTGAAACTTGATCCAAACCTAGAAAAAAAAATATTCGAAGTTAGATATATAAGAGGACTTAAAGTACTTCAGTTTCCTGGAACATGTCCTCAGGCCAAAAAAAGAAAGTTGCACATAGCAAAAGATTGACAGATCAAAAACACGATTGAGAATTATACTTAGTTGCATAACAGTTCCACGAAGATCAAATGTCATATTGAATTTTAACTTTGCAAAAATGTGGGACAAGATATAGATTCATATTGCGTCTAATCTTTCCATAAGTGAGGGGCAAATACAAATAAATTCAACTCAGAGAAGTTTAGACACAGAAGAACAAAGGTTGAAAGTGCCACCAAAATACAAGTAATATACACAGGAACAAGCACATATTGGAGCACTAGTGAAGACGAGATGAACAACCACAAGCATTTATGTATATCTAAATCTCCATGCATCAGAAAAATTGCATGAAAGAGATATTTTACTTTGGTAAGAGCAGCATGAAAGACGATAACTCATGACACTATACATTATTCAACACAGAAATATGAGGAACCACAACTTACCAATAAGAGCTCCATGCCATTGCATGTAAATGGCTTGCGTACAAACTATTAGAATGAAAATCAGCTAATGAGTTCTCCAAACCTATGAAATTTAAACCTATGAAGTTAAAAGGACTTTGGAAAAGACACCATCACAAAAAAACGATTAAATTCAAGTCATAATAATGCAAATAGAGGTGACAAAAGAAGTGGGTACATGTCCCAAGAATTAGACCAGGAACACAGAATCAATCGTAGCTAAAAGGGCTGAAGGGATTTTGTAGCTAACAGCAAATATAGCTAGAAATGGTTAGGACTACAGCATGATTAAGATTTCCAGAATTTCGATGAGCGAAGATTCAAAAGCCATTAAGCTAATAAGTTATGAGAAAGCCATTAATAAACATCAATACACTAATAGTTTATATACAATCCCTACTTGAAATATTCACTGCCCTTTTACTTTAGCTTTCTTTACTTTGATGCAGTACCCGCAAGAAGAGTTCGTAGTGTAAGTTTACCAATTCAAGTAGGCCCTCCAAATCATTAATAGCTTTCCCTGAAGATCTTTTGTATTCTGCAAACTGACTCAAAAGTTTCACATGTTCTGAATCTCTTTTCCCTAGGAAATATTACTCATGTTTACAGCAACCTACCATTGATCATATCAGTTTTACCTGATTATTAGCCGAATGTCACAACTATTTGAAGGAAAGCCTTCTTAAATTATAGATATCCCAAAAATATATCAAACTGCCAGACAGTACTTTTCCATACGGTACAGTAATTAATGACTTTTTTGCAGTAGCACAAAAGTCCTTAAAGTCCTATTGTCAGAGAGGGGCTTTTCTTCCTATTCCATTATTTTATTTATCCTATTCCTGATTGCATACCTGCCTTTTAACTGACATAGACAAGAAATTCTATGTATTAAAATTATTACTAATATTTGGTATGTAGCAAGTAAAACTACATGAAGAGTATTTGGCGCTTAGCAAGATCATTAGCCAAGAGTAATGCAGTTTCTCTAAAAGGAAAGGTTTGCTTTAGGTGAACAACATTTTGCGGGGATTTGGCAACAGCAAACAAGTGACACATCGGAATTTCTACATGATTGTAAAGAGAAATCCTTTGTATAAATTTATTATTTAGAATTTATGATATACTAAATAAAACTGTATATGAAGCATTAATTTGGAAATTAGCAAGACCATTAGTGACGATTTTTTTTCCTAAACAGAAAAATCTCTTTATTATAGCCTTTTCAACAGGGCTGAGCCTTGACATGCAATATCGACAATATAACAAGTTCTCTATTAAGATGCAGAATACAAAAGCTTGCGGGCCATCCAAAACCCATATCATTTCAATGCATCATAATATTTAGCAAACACAAACATTGAATCACTATTCCTTCACCATTAATTCAAGCCAGGCAAGCAAATAAGATGTATAATTTTAAAAAAGATTACACATATTACCTGTTGAATATCATCAACGAAACGCGTAGGTGAACTTTCATAAGTTCCTTCTTTCATCCTTGTGTGAATCACACTAAAGTCGATAAATCTGTCATACTTGAATCCTTCAAAATTTTCCTGGAGTAGCTTACATAATAAGCTGAACTTTTCAGAAATTAGAATATCAAAGAAAGCACGCCGACACATATTAGTGATGATACAAGGATCAGATGCATTTAAAGGGCCATCAGAGACAACACCCACATGACCTTTAGCTGAATACTGACATCCATTAGTAATCCCTGTTTGTGAGCATTTGTTCCTATCTTGACCATGACTATCAGATCCCTGAAATAAAAATCAAACTCAAGAGTTTTATCCAGAAAAAAGGAAACGATGATAAACAACTCATATCATAAGATCACAAGCAATTTCAGTGACAGCACAAACCTTAACTGTCGTACAAACAATTTCTGGATCAAACAAAGATGCTTCGTGAATACACTGTTCTATACCACCCACACCTTTGAATGACCCAAGCATCTGAGACAGTACAGCATTTCTGTTTCTCCTCTGCAAACAATCATATGACTTATTCAGAAAACGCTGAAAGTTATCCCTGGATGACAGCTTTTTTCATAATGCCTATTAAGTATTTCCCACAGTTCCTTAACAATCAGGAGGACATCAGGTTGGTTCCATTAAGGCAAGAAGGATCAGGAAACATCATTACAAATAGAACATGAAGGAATTGTTGGGAAAAGAAGATATACATATAGATTTTCCATCAAGGAAATTGAATAACCATACACACATAATTGCACAGGTTATTTTCATTTCTCATAGACAACATGATGCTATATAAAATTGATCATAGATTTAAAATTTTTTAATGTGATTCCAAGGTTAGCGCTATTTTCCATTACACTTGAAACCTATCTACTATAGCAAATATCAGACTACTTTAAGGTTCACATTCCACAGTATTCAATTATACCCATGTAGTAGCCAAAACATAAAACGGCGATACTTAATAAAAGGAGATCCTAAAATTGCCCCATTTTGTTCCTGAACACCCATCTAAACAAATGAAAAGGCAAGATCTTTCTCCAGTATTTCAATAGCAATAAAAAATTGTACAAAACCAGGCCAACTATTTGTGGTAAATCATGCACAAGTAACATGCATTTGCAAATAAAAGTACAAAATTCATGCACTTCACTAATATAAATACACACCACACACTCTCGTCCAAATGCAAATACTTTGGTTGGATCATCTATCACAATTAATGATGATTCTACATTACCAAGCCATTTCAACCATTTATCAAATTGTAAAATACCAAGTGTCAACTGATAAGATAGATAATGGAAAATGTTAAGAAAAGTGCAGAAAAAATTTAATTTGAATGGCTTATGGCTCAAGATCTAACGTATCCTGTTCATAAATTAGCATATTGTTTAATTAATGTGCCAAAGTTCTACAGGCATGGAACATAGCTTAAACTCCTTTAAAAGTTACATAGTGCAATTGAATTGTGAAAAAAAAAATATCAGAAATATAATCCACTAAAATGATAAAGAAAAAAAAAGTTTATTTCAAAATTTCAAGTTAGCACAAAGATACTAAATTGCCTATAATTCTCTCTAATGAAATTCGAGATGTTATATTCTAGTTTTTCTTCACTTAAATCTAAAGAAGCAATTTTAAGTTTTGCCCAATAGCGATGGCTCAGCACAGACTCTTATGCTAATAGCTTCCATATATCGTAATATTAAGATACAATATAAGTTCCAACAAATTTTCTGACACATACAGAATATAGTACTGTCAATTATGCACAAAATAACAAATGATAACCAAGTATTAGAAATGATATATTATGTAGATTAATACAAGACACTGACTAACATAACAATGGGTTATCTAAATTACATAGTCGTATCCATATATAAGTGTGTATTTACATGCAATACATGAGAAGACACAAGACATAGGCATGCCTCACCTCATAAACTTTTATCTAGTTGTATCCATATATAAGTGTGTGTTTATGTGCAACACACAAGAAGACACAAGATATAGGCATGCCTCACTTCATAAACTTTTATCTACTTGTATCCATATATAAGTGTGTGTTTATGTGCAACACACAAGAAGACACAAGATATAGGCATGCCTCACTTCATAAAACTTTTATCTACTTTAATAGTCCATTTAAGTAGTCCCTAATATTAATGAAGGAATACCGAGAAGTATCAGTTAGCTAAAGCTCTTAACCTTAATCAACTTTTCTTAATGTGCCTAATCCAAAGCAGAGATTTTTCAACTCACTACAAGCACTAAAGCATATTTTAGCATCAATTTCAAGTCATTTTGGTCCTTGAATGTCATGACAGAAAAACTCATTTCATGATTGACTATTACAAAGAAAAAAAAATTATTCCTCCACGCTTATTCACATACATTCATGGAGACATACCTGAATTCTAAAGGAATCCTCCAAAAATTTGGCTTCTTCTGTTGACCTTACATGCTTCCGCCTCTTGTAGGTCCGAAAACCCTCCCTTGCAACTGAGCTCCCTTCACCGAAATCATGCACCCTTCCAACTTCAATCCCATTAATCCCCCTTCCTCTTTTCAAGAACTCTGTATCACCATTGCATGTTCCCTCTTCACAGCCCATCACTAACAGAAATTAAAAATAAAGAAAAAACTATTAAAAAAATAAACTTTATGAGCCGTCCATCACCAAGTACGGTTTTCAAATGGCAACAAACAAGAGAAGATGAATATTTTACATAAATTACAAGAAACCTACTCAGCTAATAAAATCAAACTATAAAACAATGGACTTAAGCCCCCATCCCTGTTTGATTTCTGAAAAAGCATGGAAAATTAGGGTTTCCCTATCATACCCACATGACAAAATTCAAAATTCACATAAATTATTAGACGCCCACTTCATAATATTGACTAAATTAGCAAATAACTACCCAAATTCGAGCGAGTAGAGTTTTAAAAACAAAATTCGTTTTCTTTATAGTGAAAACACTGGCAATTGAAGTAAAAAACCAAAAATCTGCATCTCAGCATTCTATATTGTTTCAATTTATGAGGAAACGAGAAAAAGAAAACAAACCTAAAACCAAGTACTTGAACAAAGCTCTATTGGGTCCAACTATTTTCTTCTAGAGTCGAAATCCAAAAAAAGAAAAAGGAAAAAAAAAAAAAAAAGAGTTCTAGATTCAACCAGTTCAGTGTTAGTTTATACGTGCGTTTCCTACCATCATATTAAAGTAAGTTACCGAACAAAACATAGAAGAAACAAAACTTACTCAAAGAGAAATTAAAAGTTGTATTCACCTGAGTTAATGAATTTCTTAGAGCCCAAAAAATCGAAACTAAAGAGTTTTGTTTATGTCAGATGTCTTGGCTCTTCAAGTCTTATCCGTGTATTTTAAATTTTTCAGTACAGTGTTTTTTAACCCGTGGTTTTCTTCATTTTATGATTCCCGGGTCGGGTCTGCTTCTGGTGACCAGGAGTGATGAGTGCACCGGGCAGCACTGCGCAGCCGGTGCTTTTTTACCGGCAGGTGTCGGTTACTGGTGGTGGAGACTCAAGAAAGAAACTATTTATTGGTCAACTAAAGTCCGCTAATTTTTTTAATTGTTATTTTTTATTTAATTCTCAAAGAGTAATGCTATAATCATAATAAATTCTAGTAAACTTTTTTTCACAGCCTAATATAATAACTGTTAATTAATTAGTTTATAATAAGTCTCATTGGAGTCTTATTTTGATAAATTATGATTGATTAATTATGAGTTGTTGTAAAAAAAAATTTATAAGAAAAAGTTGTGAGTATAAATTTTAAAAAAAAAATTAAAATTAAAATTTATAAAAATATTTATTGAGTCACTAATTCTTCGATACAATAATTATGATGATGATGATAATGTTATTAATATAACAGTCATACATTACAAAAGTCCAATTTATGTAATAATATATATAACAGTGATAATTATTTAATTAATCTTGAGAGTATCATATTATTTAATCAAAGAAACCACAAATCTCGAATAAAAAAAATATAACAGTAATTACAAACCGAAACTCAACAACCACCCATCCAATAATTATTACAAAAGGGCACTTGAGTAAACTTGAACGAGTAAACAACATTTCCTGATACTACCCACTCCACCGAAACTGACCGAACCGGACCTAACTTTCGGAATGCGCGGACGCCGGTGTCTCTCATCTCGCCACACCGATTTTTCGGAGTCGGAGAGCGAGTCCGAGTCCGAATCCGAAACCATGCGTTGCATATCGTGCAGGGAGGAATACGGGACACGTGACGCGGGCACGTGCAAGGAGTGTTACGAGGAGGCGAGCGAGACCGAGGAGGAGCTCAAGCGAGAGATCGAAGATCTTAAAGCTAAAGTTGCCTTTCTGAGATTTTGGTCTCCGCTTGATCACCATGCTAGGTCCCACAATGGCCCTTGTTACACCGATGTCGTTTTGGTCGCCACCTCCGAGGATGGCTCCTCTGGCTTCTCCGTTCCCGTCCCTGCCCATAAAGCCGTTTTGGTGAGTACCCAGAAAAGTTTTTGATTCTTTGCTTATTGCTAGAGCTTGTTAACTGGTACTATAAGTTATGGTGAATTCTATTGCACTGTGATTACTACTATGGGATAGGCGTAGTAATTGTTGTTGGTTTTGATGGATGATAGTGCTTTAATTTGTGCAGGAAAGTGGAGTTGGTAGTCAGTATTGTTAGCTTAGTTGGTAAGGTTTCTTTTAGTTGTAAGAGAGGTTTTGAGATCGAAACTTGTTCGTATAGGAGTTGAGGAGAGCTTAGATTGAATTTTGGAGGGCTTGGATTAAATTTGGAAGTTGGGAGTGAACGTGATAAAAATTTGATAACTTGGTAGCTCCGGGAAACTCTTCAACCCTTGTGGAAGTGATGGAATTGTTCATCTGTAATCTGCAGATTGAATTCTTGCTCTGGTTGATTGAGTTGCTCTGTATCATGCGGAGCGCTTCTTTATTAGTGGGGCCAAATGTAAATTTCAAGTTGATGAGATAAGGAGAAAGAATACGAGGATATGCATAATAAATTGATTTTAATATGAAGTGCTTATTTGGTTGCTCTGCTTGTGGAACTGGAGTTGAAGTCCATAACTGGCAAATACTTTTTTTTCTAATTATTTTTTTTCTATTTCTTTATTTTTTTGAAAAACAAAAAATGTTGTTGGATAATTCTACCTGGTGGGATCTGGCTAAGATTGATCCAATTCCATTTATCAGGGGAGTGTACCCGCCTCTTGTGTGTCTGTGCACAAATTATTATGGGGTGTCACGGATGAATTTGGCAGAGCATGAAGTTGTAAGCAGCTCAAATATGATTCCATCTAAAATTGAGGGTTTGCGTGTGTCTTTGTAGGCACAATTTAAGCATGTATTCCTGTATAATTGGCTTTTTCACTATGCACTCGGTTGATGATGCACTTCTAGGGTACACCATTCCTTATTATTTCTTTGAAATGTATTCAGGTGAGCCGTTCTCCAGTGTTCAAAGCCATGCTAGAGAATGAGATGGAGGAAAGCCGGAGTGGCACTATAAAGATTAGTGATGTGACATACGATGCACTTCGTGCATTTGTCAACTATTTGTACACTGCAGAAGCATGCCTTGATGAGCAAATGGCCTATGACCTTTTAGAACTGGCGGAAAAATACCAGGTGAAGCACCTTAAAGCATACTGTGAGAAGTTCCTGGTATCCAAGTTGAATTGGGACAATTCAGTTATGAGCTATGCTTTTGCACACCAGCATAATGCTAAACAACTGCTTGATGCATCTTTGTCATTGATCACTGACAACATGGACAAGCTTACCAAACGGGAGGAGTACATAGAGCTTGTTGAAAAAGACCCCCGCCTTGTGGTGGAGATCTACGAAGCTTACCTCTCTAAACAGGTGAATACTGCAGCCCATAAGGATTCTTCCATGAAGTAAGGAGTGAGTACAGTTTTCTTCCTGTGCTGATCTGAAACCAGTATCATTATTTTTTGGGGGGGATAAGATATGAGTCATTGATTAGTGTTTACTGTTTATGGAGTCTCTGTATGTAGATGGAGATAATATGAACAAACTAAAATATTTGTTGGTTGGAAAGTTTTGTAGTAGTTTTCGACTATATTGATGGGCATGTCAAAGTTTTTTAAAAGATGTTATTGGTGGCAAAACTTGAAATTGTAAAATGTTGTGGATTTATAGAAATCATCTAGTGTTATCTTCTGTATACCAAATATTCTTTTCCCTTCTAGTATCTTTTCCCATTATCTTATTCAAGAAAGTCTCAGAGCATCAGAATGGATGTAAATGTCAATAGTTTATTATTCAAATTTCGTTTTATGGTTGAGCTACCAAAACTATACAGTCATTAGGTGTTNCATTACAAAAGTCCAATTTATGTAATAATATATATAACAGTGATAATTATTTAATTAATCTTGAGAGTATCATATTATTTAATCAAAGAAACCACAAATCTAGAATAAAAAAAATATAACAGTAATTACAAACCGAAACTCAACAACCACCCATCCAATAAATTATTACAAAAGGGCACTTGAGTAAACTTGAACGAATAAACAAGATTTCGTGATACTACCCACTCCACCGAAACTGACCGAACCGGACCTAACTTTCGGAATGCGCGGACGCCGGTGTCTCTCATCTCGCCACACCGATTTTTCGGAGTCGGAGAGCGAGTCCGAGTCCGAATCCGAAACCATGCGTTGCATATCGTGCAGGGAGGAATACGGGACACGTGACGCGGGCACGTGCAAGGAGTGTTACGAGGAGGCGAGCGAGACCGAGGAGGAGCTCAAGCGAGAGATCGAAGATCTTAAAGCTAAAGTTGCCTTTCTGAGATTTTGGTCTCCGCTTGATCACCATGCTAGGTCCCACAATGGCCCTTGTTACACCGATGTCGTTTTGGTCGCCACCTCCGAGGATGGCTCCTCTGGCTTCTCCGTTCCCGTCCCTGCCCATAAAGCCGTTTTGGTGAGTACCCAGAAAAGTTTTTGATTCTTTGCTTATTGCTAGAGCTTGTTAACTGGTACTATAAGTTATGGTGAATTCTATTGCACTGTGATTACTACTATGGGATAGGCGTAGTAATTGTTGTTGGTTTTGATGGATGATAGTGCTTTAATTTGTGCAGGAAAGTGGAGTTGGTAGTCAGTATTGTTAGCTTAGTTGGTAAGGTTTCTTTTAGTTGTAAGAGAGGTTTTGAGATCGAAACTTGTTCGTATAGGAGTTGAGGAGAGCTTAGATTGAATTTTGGAGGGCTTGGATTAAATTTGGAAGTTGGGAGTGAACGTGATAAAAATTTGATAACTTGGTAGCTCCGGGAAACTCTTCAACCCTTGTGGAAGTGATGGAATTGTTCATCTGTAATCTGCAGATTGAATTCTTGCTCTGGTTGATTGAGTTGCTCTGTATCATGCGGAGCGCTTCTTTATTAGTGGGGCCAAATGTAAATTTCAAGTTGATGAGATAAGGAGAAAGAATACGAGGATATGCATAATAAATTGATTTTAATATGAAGTGCTTATTTGGTTGCTCTGCTTGTGGAACTGGAGTTGAAGTCCATAACTGGCAAATACTTTTTTTTCTAATTATTTTTTTTCTATTTCTTTATTTTTTTGAAAAACAAAAAATGTTGTTGGATAATTCTACCTGGTGGGATCTGGCTAAGATTGATCCAATTCCATTTATCAGGGGAGTGTACCCGCCTCTTGTGTGTCTGTGCACAAATTATTATGGGGTGTCACGGATGAATTTGGCAGAGCATGAAGTTGTAAGCAGCTCAAATATGATTCCATCTAAAATTGAGGGTTTGCGTGTGTCTTTGTAGGCACAATTTAAGCATGTATTCCTGTATAATTGGCTTTTTCACTATGCACTCGGTTGATGATGCACTTCTAGGGTACACCATTCCTTATTATTTCTTTGAAATGTATTCAGGTGAGCCGTTCTCCAGTGTTCAAAGCCATGCTAGAGAATGAGATGGAGGAAAGCCGGAGTGGCACTATAAAGATTAGTGATGTGACATACGATGCACTTCGTGCATTTGTCAACTATTTGTACACTGCAGAAGCATGCCTTGATGAGCAAATGGCCTATGACCTTTTAGAACTGGCGGAAAAATACCAGGTGAAGCACCTTAAAGCATACTGTGAGAAGTTCCTGGTATCCAAGTTGAATTGGGACAATTCAGTTATGAGCTATGCTTTTGCACACCAGCATAATGCTAAACAACTGCTTGATGCATCTTTGTCATTGATCACTGACAACATGGACAAGCTTACCAAACGGGAGGAGTACATAGAGCTTGTTGAAAAAGACCCCCGCCTTGTGGTGGAGATCTACGAAGCTTACCTCTCTAAACAGGTGAATACTGCAGCCCATAAGGATTCTTCCATGAAGTAAGGAGTGAGTACAGTTTTCTTCCTGTGCTGATCTGAAACCAGTATCATTATTTTTTGGGGGGGATAAGATATGAGTCATTGATTAGTGTTTACTGTTTATGGAGTCTCTGTATGTAGATGGAGATAATATGAACAAACTAAAATATTTGTTGGTTGGAAAGTTTTGTAGTAGTTTTCGACTATATTGATGGGCATGTCAAAGTTTTTTAAAAGATGTTATTGGTGGCAAAACTTGAAATTGTAAAATGTTGTGGATTTATAGAAATCATCTAGTGTTATCTTCTGTATACCAAATATTCTTTTCCCTTCTAGTATCTTTTCCCATTATCTTATTCAAGAAAGTCTCAGAGCATCAGAATGGATGTAAATGTCAATAGTTTATTATTCAAATTTCGTTTTATGGTTGAGCTACCAAAACTATACAGTCATTAGGTATTGTTGACAAGCTTATAATTGACTTGATCTTCCTGAAAGTTTCTTTAAAGCTTTGCCAATAAGCAATTAAAACAACATTTCTTGCAGTTCTTGGTTCTGTTGAGAGTAGTTGCCAGGAAATTTCAAATTGGTCAAGCACATGAATATGATAAAGTTGTATATCCATACAAGAAATCGTCATGTGGGGTAAAAATACACTCTAGTACACATCACTGGTATATAAATCACTATGTCACACCTTTGCTTGGATTCAGGATTCTTATTACATTTTGAATGTCAATTATATTTAAACAATTTTTTTCCCAATCCATGAAGTACATTCGCAGAATTAAAAGAATGTAAAAAGCAATTATTTTCTTTTTCTTGTATCACATTATCTCAACTGGAGCATGAGAATTGAAATGTTACATCTGCGCCCGCCAATTCGCCCATATAAATTTATAGCAAAATATATACGCTTTATTACAACCTTTGATGAAGGATAATAAACCAGAAATATGTTGTATTTAATTTCCTTTTGTTTCTTCACTAAGAAAGATAATAATCCACTCGGGACATAAATTCTCTTAGTAATTCTTTCTCGGACAACCTTCGTTTGAACAAAACAAGATCAGCAACTTACTGATATGTGATGTACGAAAAAGATCCATTTTTTAAATTGTGGATTATTGCTTTCACTCGCCCTCAACGACTTCTTTTATGACGTACATCCTCTGTAGGCATTGAGAACTAAACAACTCATTGCAGTGCTTCAATGGTAGCTATATTGCTTTAGAATTACAGAGCTTTAACGACTGGGTTCAAAACCCACTTTTTAATTAGGCTTCTCCCCTGTAACATTTTGTTTTGGTATTTCCTTGAACCTAATTGGTTTCTTGCCTGTAATGTTTTGTTTTGGTATTTGCTTGCACGCTTGGCTCACGCATTCTGTGTAACCTTACACCGGCAGCAAGGTAGCCAGACCAAAACACTTAACTTTCAAAGTGTTACATTACAACATTCCTCAATTATACTAACTAAACCAGAAATCCCAAAACATAGAAGATGTATTGCCAATCTTGCAGAGTGTACAGGAGCGGGGTCGTGTGCAATGATTGCTACGAGAAGGCGGGAGAAACCGTTGAGAAGTTGCAGCGGGAGATCGAAGAGCATAAAGCCAAAATTGCCTTCTTAAGGTTTTGGTCTCCACTTGATCACCGCCACCAGCCATCGTACACCGACCTCGTTTTGCTAGCTGAGGACGGAGCTTCTGGGTCCGCCGTTCCTATCCCAGCTCATAAGGCCGTTATGGTCAGTACCTCTCTCTCTCTATCTATATATATGAGCTTAGTTGAAGCTACATTGAATTCTATTGTTAATTTGTGTAATAATTTTAGTGCTGTAAGAAAAATAAAGAGTAACCGACATGTTTCCACCCAGGGTTTCGCGAAATAACAAGTTCCCACCCCTGTTTCATAAATTCCATATCCCCACCCTAAAAGAGTAAAAGTAACACTGTTAATGAATTTTGACTTTTAATACCACTGTAGAGGGTGCTATTACTTTTGATTTCACCATCACCATCACCACCACGAGCTACCACATTTCAACACCATCACGGCCAAAACCCCAAAGTCACCACCACCACCACCATCGCAATCCCTCTAAACCCTAAATTCAGCCCTATCGCCACCAAATGACCACCACCAAATCACTCACAAATCCAGCCACGAACCACCACAAACCTCAGCCACAAACCCACCTACAAACCTATCCGAAAACAACCACAAATTGAGCCACAAACCCACCCAAAAATGCCACAAACTCAACCACAAACTTACCAACATACCCGGATTGGAAATGTGGGACGGCAAACAGTGCGCAACAGGTGTTAGGGTTGATGGGGTTTTGGTTTGGGAGGAGTGATAATGCAATTGGTGGTGTTGGGAAAGATTTCAAGTGCAGGGAGCGGCTGGAATTTAGGTGGAAAGCTGCGACAATCCCATAAATTCCTAACGGTGTGATTCCGACGATCGACGAGCAAATGAGATTTAGGGTGTTGGGGGTTTTTGAAAGGAGTTGCCCATGGAGAGAAAAGTGGAGTCAAGGTCGGTTTTCGACATTGGGATCGATTGGAAAAGTCTTGGAAGCGTGCAGACCAAAAGAGGGCGATGGTTGGCGATTGGTGGCTCAATGAGATGGGGGGTGATAATGGTTTTGATGTGTAGGTTGAGAGGAGTAAGGTGGTGGAGTCAAGAGGTTTAGAGGATGCCGGAATAGGCGTTCAACGATGAAGGGATGGTATGATGAGTGTTGGTACTGAGTGAGGTGGAGATTGGCGTTGGTGTCTTGCGGCGACTAGATCTAGTTGTCGGTTAAC